TTATTATTGTTATTATTATTATTACCGTCATTATTTTCTCTCCTACAGAAAAAGTCTCAGGGCCAGGAGCTGTTCGAGCGTGTGGTCTACTCTCTGGACATCATAGAGAAGGATTACTTTGGTCTCCAGTACACGGATGCCAACCACGTCCCTGTGAGTAACCACGTCTTGTATATATAGCCATCTCTAGGTCTTATCCCTTCCAAACCACGTCTTGTGTCCCATCGTAACCACGCCCTAGCCATCACAACCACGGCCTCTCATCAGAATGGCGGAACACAGAACAGTGGTACACGGAACATAGTGGAACACGGAACATAGTGGAATGAAACATGGAAAAACACAGACTGGTATTGTCAGAGAGAGAGAGAGAGGCTGGGGACGAGAGTGATCTGGGCGGAGGTGAGGTGAGGTGACCCAGACCAGCTGACTTGTGTTGACACTGGATCAGCTGGTCGTCTGTGTGTGTGTGTGTGGTGGTTGTGGTGATGGCGTGGGGGGGGGGTTTGTGGTAGTGGTGGGGAAGTAGGTGTGTGTGGCATGTGGTGGTTGTGGGGAGGTGTGGGATGTTGTGGTGGGGAGAGTGAGATATGTGTGGTGGTGGTGATATTGGAGAGTGAGGGAGGAGAGGTGGTGGTGATGGTGGAGAGTGAGGGAGGAGACGGGAAGATCATTCTGTAGAGACCTGTGATGGTGTGTGAGGACGGGTGGTTGTGGCTATGTACTACAGTGGTGAGTTATTGTGGACATATTAAACTGAATGACGATGGTATACGGTTTTGTGTAGTAACCAGCTAACCTAAACCTTTAATGACGATGGTTTAACCCTTTGAGGACGAGGGTTTAAAAATACCCTCCTCAAAGGGGTTAAAACCATCGTCCTTGGGAGGTTAAAATTAAAATACTGTCAGATAATAATTTTGTAACGTAAATAATTAAGCTATACATACTGCGCCTCTACTTTAATATAGACATCGGAAGGAGAATTTGAATTTCAATACCGTGTCTAGTTTCATCTCAACCAACACTGCCAGGGGTCGCCATCACACACCGCATAATGTTGATGTATTACTATGCTTCAGTAACTATAGTCTCTGTTTATAATTGATCTGTAAGTAAACAAAATCAACAGTCATTAAAATATAAGGAATCTATGTGTCTTTGGTATAACATTTGACCCTTGTTTTAGGTATATTTTTAAGATTAAGGGAGGTAGGGTATGACCGTGGGTATGCGTAGTGTCAGCGTGTCTGGTGGGGCATTCAACGTTACATTAAGTAGTTATCTCTATCTTGAACATCTTCTGGTTATTTTCTTATCGTTTATCAAATTATTCTTCCTGTGGTGTGAGTTTACGACACAGTAGCTTGTATTTGGGGATTATTATTGTTGTTTTTCTCATCTTAAGCCTTTCATTATTTTTGAATAATTCCTGCCCTAGACATTACTTGGGTGACGTCACGAGAGGTTGCCAGATCCCGCTCGCTGGGCAGGTCTGTAGCCCCGCCTCCTAGCCCTTGCCATACCCTGTACCCTGACGTAGGAAATAACGGAGTCATATTTCTGGCTAATGAAACCTCAATTTTGTGAATATTTTGTGTGTGTGTGATATTTACGTAAATTAAGACTACTGTATACAGGTATATGTATTTATCAAACGTATTTTTTGTATTTGAGTACACGTGGTTTGATAATGTACATTGTCTTAAATTATCAAAACAAAATATTATATCTCATGATTCTTTAAAAAAAGCACACCTGTTGTTTTCCTAATGCGGGTGTTGGCTGTTGAGGAGCGAGTTTAGACCTGGCGGGGCAGCACGGAGCGCCCTAAGGGGTATCTTACTCCATCACGATTTTATTATCTTTTATTCACTCAAGTATCGTGGCTTGAGGTCTGAACACTGGCCGCCACAAGCACATAGATGATTACTGGCCTCCAGCAATATCATATAGGTTCAGAGACGAGGGAAGGGGGGAGGGGCCATGCTGTTGCCAGATGCCGGGAGAGAGGTGATCATACCCTCGGGAGATGAGTGATTTATTTTCTATTGTGAAAATATAAACCAACAGCTGAATGATTAATAACTTAATGACATCATTATATTAATATGATAGGTGAAAATATTTATATTTATATATTAATTCAGCTGTGTGGTGTACTGTAGTACTCGTGAATAATGCGTCATTTTGTTCCGAGAATTGTCCATATGAAAGTACTGTTTACTGTACCTAGAAACAGTTGATTCATGGCGCTCTTACTATTTGACTCATGACATCTATTAACAGGGTAGGTTAAAGTAAATGTTGCAATAACCTGTTTTGGCCTCAGAACCTTAGCTGTGTGTGTCCAGACTATACTAGAAGCGTCTCAGCGTGTTGTGTTCTAGTTAGTGGTCGTGTTTGCTATGAGTTCGTTCCTGGTTAGATCATTTAGCCTAAACATAGATGATATAAGTTATATTTGCTGTTATGTGGAGTGGATAACTTAAAGGGGTGAAGAGACACAGAATGACCCCACAAGATAACTATGGTCATAATGGAGTTGGTCTGAACTTTGACCTGACACATGACCTGACGCTAACCTGACCATCCCCTCCACAGGTAACGTTAAGGTGTGCTACTTATCGGGTGAAGTAAGCTTGGGTGGGGATAATCTTTACAAGTCATCTGATTCGAGTTTCATATAATACGTGGTGGTGTGACTGTTGCTCCACGCCACACCCTCTCAGCGTCACACCCTCTCAGCGTCACACCCTCTCAGCGTCACACCCTCTCAGCGCCACACCCTCCAGAATATAAATTTTCGCTGGCGTGGTGACATGTTTGGGTGATTCTAGAAAATTCAACCCTTATGTCCGCCAGCCCCTTCCCTTCGTCTGCCTGGGTCAAAACCTTACCCCGTCATGCCCGCCTTCCGCCAACATGTAGACTTAGAGACAATTATTTAACATGTAACACTATTTAACTGACTGATTTATTAACTGTTGTCCACTAGAGAAGTTATTTTCTTGTGTTTCCTTGGTTATAAAAGTTTGTGTTGGTTGGAGATAGTCGTGGTCGTACGTCTGGCCGCGCAACACTTGGGTCATTGCCAGATGTTGCCAGATATGGATAAAGAAAAGCGTTGAGAGGCTGTGACGTGAATGTATATATATATATTATATTGCTTATTTGATTATTTATTGATTATTTGATGTGGTTAATCTGAGAAAGAGAGAGAGAGCGAGAGAGAGACTAGACTAGACTGATGAGGCGCCGCTGTGGTCAGTCCTCTCTCCATCTCTCTCTCTCTCACAGCCCAACCCTTTCCTCCCCCTCCCTCCCCGCCTACGTCCAGCCAACCCTACCCCACCACCACCCCCTCCCTCCCCGCCTACGTCCAGCCAACCCTACCCCACCACCACCCCCTCCCTCTAGTACTCTAGCTTATCCGCCTCAACTCCGGAAATTTTAAACTCGAAATAGCTGCATCACACACCTGAAGATTAACCCCCCCTAGCTTATTTCAACCGATAATTAAACACCTTAACTACCTTGGGTATTTGGTGAGGTTACGTTAGGTTATGGTGGTTGTGTATTAAGGGGAAATAAACTGGGGCTAATTTTCAGGTGATGGTGTGTGTGTGTGTGGAGAGGCTTGTTGCTGTTGGCTATGGTAACTTGATCGTGAGGGGGAGAGGCAGGGAAGGGGGAGAGGCAGGGAGGGGAGGGAAGGGGGAGAGAAACTATGTCCATGCTTTGTTGCCTCATTATTCTCTCTCTCTCTCTCTCTATCTTCTGGGAGTCTTTCATGCATCCTCGGGTTAGGTCAGGTCAGGTTAGGTTAACCTTTCCTTCTCAGTTAGTTTATGAAAGTATGGTAGGGAGGGATAGGGAGGTCCAGTGTGGTGAGGAGGGAGGTGAGGTGAGGTGAAGGAGGGTCAGTGGTGAGGGTGAGGAGGTGTCAGGGAGGTGAAGGGAGGGTGCAGTGTGGTGAGGAGGTGTCAGGGAGGTGAGGTGAAGGAGGTCAGTGTGGTGAGGTGAGGAGGTGTCAGGGTGAGGTGAGGGGAGGGGTGAAGGAGGGTCAGTGTGGTGAGGGTGAGGGAGGGTGTCACATGTGGCTGGGGGGGGCAGGTAACAGTTATCATGTGTTACTTACGTCCGGTCACTCATGATTCATCCTGGTACGTGATACTGTGTGACACTCCTCTCTCGGGTCTTTCTCCTCCGGTTCCTCCCTCGGGTCCTCCTCCTCCGGTTCCTCCCTCGGGTCCTCCTCCGGTTCCTCCCTCGGGTCCTCCTCCTCCGGTTCCTCCGTCGGGTCCTCCTCCGGTTCCTCCCTCGGGTCCTCCCGGTCCTCCCTCGGGTCCTCCTCTCCGGGGGTCCTCCTCCGGTTCCTCCCTCGGGTCCTCCTCCTCCGGTTCCTCCGTCGGGTCCTCCTCCGGTTCCTCCCTCGGGTCCTCCTCCGGTTCTCCTCTCGGGTCCTCCTCCTCCGTTCCTCCTCGGGTCCTCCTCCGGTTCCTCCCAGGTCCTCCTCCGGTTCCTCCCTCGGGTCCTCCTCCTCCGGTTCCTCCGTCGGGTCCTCCTCCGGTTCCTCCCTCGGGTCCTCCTCCTTCATAGTCTCGTCTGTGTTGACAAAGGTGACGTCATCGATTGTTTACACACCACCTGAAGATTAGTCACCCCAGCTTATATCACCTGAAGAGTAACCACCATAACTGTGTGGGTTAGGTTAGGTTAGGTTAGCATTAGGTTAGGTTAGGTTAGCATTAGGTTAGGTTAGTTAAACTGAGGGAGGCGAATCTTCAAGTGATCAATGTAGACAGCCGTTTGAGAGAGAGAGAGAGAGAGAGAGAGAGAGAGAGAGAGAGACTATATGAATATGTAGGCCACTTGGTCTCTGGCTGACTGGTAACCGCTCAACGCCTGACTGGTCCTGTGTGTGTGTGTGTGTGTATATGTCTGTGTGTCTGTCTGTGTGTGTGTCTGTCTGTGTGTGTGTGTATGTCTGTGTGTGTGTGTGTGTGTATGTCTGTGTGTGTGGTGTGTCTCCCTGTACTCACTAATTCACCGATTCATTCATTGATTCATTCCTTGATTCATTCATTGATTCATTCATTAATTCATTCATCTTGTTGATAGACAGACGGATATAATTAGTCTTTATTTTATACCTTTAATGATTCATACTTTAATAATAATACCATCATCACTACTACTAAGCTAACTCATAGAGTGTACTCGCCTCACTCACTGTACTCAGCTCACTCAGGCTGTACTCGGCTCACTCAGGCTGTACTCGGCTCTCACTATGAGGGACGGGCGTGTACATATTAACTGGCCAACAACCTCGTTAACCTCAGACATAAACCAGTAATTACCGTGGCTGTGGTCTTTCATCCCCCCCTGCCTGGCCCTTGTGCCCTACAGACTAGAACAGATTTGCTGTGTACATCTGCGTCTACGAGTGGGGGGGCCGTGGTCACCAACCCTCAGTCCTAATAACTTCTACGAGTGGGGGGCCGTGGTCACCAACCCTCAGTCCTAATAACTTCTACGAGTGGGGGGCCGTGGTCACCAACCCTCAGTCCTAATAACGTGTAGGAGTGTATTTATTGTGTGTGTGTGTGTGTGTCATAGTGTGTGTTAACCAATAAGGTCTCCTCTTTACAGCACTGGCTCGACCCCACCAAGACCATCAAGAAACAGGTTAAAAGTAAGTACACCATAAATGTTGTAAGTACGTTTAGTAGGAAATTTGTGTTTTATAAGTAGAGGGAGAATATTTATAAGTAGAGAACACTTTATTATACCTCATAAGTAAGATACCTTTATCAGTTTTACTTACAACAACACTCTTAAGGCTGTGTAAGTAGATATAATTAATAGCTTTACTTACAAGAACACTTAATGAGACTGCGTTAGTTGAGACGTTTAGTAGTTAAATGATACCGGGAGTTACACAGTGGGGTCTTATTTACGGAGCGTGGAGTAACACTTACGGCACACTACTGTACTGTTCCTTGAGTCGTGAGGCGGCGTCTGTGTGGTGAGGGGGGGACGGGTGAGGAGGGAGGGGAGGGAAGGAGGGTAATTGAAGGGAAAGGGCGAAGGGAAGGAATGGAATAGGAAGAGCTGGGGTACAGGAAGGAAAGGAGAGGACGGAGGAAGGAAGGAAGGAAGGGAAGAAGGGGGGTTACAGAGACCTCATTACAAGACGTACTGTATTGACCCGCTGTGTGTGTGTGTGTAATATAATAACCCAGGTGTTTTTATTTGTTTGTTTACAGTTGGACCGCCCTACACGTTTCGTTTCAAGGTCAAGTTTTACCCCCAGGAACCTAACCTACTGAGAGAGGAGCTGACCAGGTGAGTGATCTCAGGTGACCTCATATGACCCCAGGTGACCTCATATGACCCCAGGTGACCTCATATGACCCCAGGTGACCTCATATGACCCCAGGTGACCTCAGGTGACCTCATATGGCCCCAGGTGACCTCATATGACCCCAGGTGACCCCAGGTGACCTCATATGACCCCAGGTGACCTCATATGGCCCCAGGTGAACTCATTACCCCAGGTGACCTCATATGACCTCCTCTTCTTCCTTCTCTTCCTCCTTCTCCTCTTCCTCCTTCTTCCTACTCCTCTTCCTCCTAAAACTCCTTCCATTTCTCTCTTAGTCTCATCTTTATCTCCTCCTCTTTATCTAATTCTCTCTTCACTTTTTCCTTACTTCCTCTTTTTTTATTCATTCTCTCTACTTCCGTCTTTATTCCCTCCTATCCATTTCTCTTCTCTACCTTATCTACCATCAGCTGGAGGAGGAGGAGGAAGAGTGGTATGCCAGGTGAGTGACCCAAGTTGAACTCTCTCTCTCCTCCACCACACTGCCCCTCCTTCCACAACACTGCCCTCCTTCTACCACACTGCCCCTCCCACCACACTCCCCTCCTCCCACAACACTGCCCTCCCTCCCACCACACTGCCCTCCCCTCAACCACCTCCCTCTCCACCCCTCCCCTCCTCCACAACACTGCCCCTCCCTCCCACAACACTGCCCTCCTTCCCACCACTCCCCTCCTCCCTGTACCCCTCCTTCCACCACACTGCCCCTCCCTCCACCACTGCCCCTCCTTCCACCACCTCCCCTCCTTCCACCACCTCCCCTCCTCCACCACACTCCCCTCCCTCCACCTCCCTCCTCCACAACCTGCCCCTCCTCCACAACCTGCTCGTTCCCCACCCCCCCTGCACCATCTGTCAATGTGTGGTAGAGAGAGAATCATATGTTTCCACAACCGCATGCATCTCTCTCTCTCTCTTTTCGTGTGTGTGTGTCAGCCATATCACATTCACACACCATTACAGCATTGACAGATCTTTGTTGATAAAGTTGGAATACTTAGAATCAATAGTGTTCATGATCTTGCTTTATTTATTATTTTCTAAGGTCATTTCTTGATAATGAGACACACACACACACACACCTACACACACACACAAAAACACACACACACACACACACACACACACACACACACACACACACACACACACACACACACACACACACTCTCTCTCTCTCAGTAATACAGTGTTGTTGTATGTGTTCCAGGTACCAGTTCTTCCTGCAGCTGAAACAAGACATCATCTCCGGGAAGCTGGAGGTCCCCTACCAGCTGGCCGTTGAACTCTTCGCTCTTAGTCTACAGTGTGAGTATCTGATGCTGACCTGTCCTGACCTGATTTACTGTAATTTGACCTGACCTCATCTAACCCAACCTAACCTTATGTAACCTCAAACCTGATCTAACCTAATCCAAACTAACCCTACCCTACCCTACCCTACCCTACCCTCACCTTACCCTCACCTTACCCTACCCTACCCTACCTTACCCTCACCATTATATGAAGAAACATTTACTCACCTGCTCAGTACCCAACATGACCTTAAGCCATCGTGTGTTGACCTGTGTTTTGTTTTGCAGCGGAACTCGGCGACTATGATCCCGAGGTCCACAGTGCCGGCTTCGTCTCCGAGTTCCACTTCAGCCCCGACCAATCGGACGCCATGGAGGAGGACACGCTCGAGAGATTTAGAGAATTTAAGTGAGTCACACCTCTCTGTTTACACCTGTCGAGTCACATCGCACGAGTAATGTTTCATGAATTACGAGTTAAATAAGGCGTAGTCAGTGTGTCTCGCAGGGGTGTATACAAGCTAAGTTAATCCTTCCTACTGCCTGAACATTGATGCAACACTGGGACGTAATTGACACTTTTTAACTGTAGTTGTTTGTTAATGTTAATGGTGAGAGTTTATGTGTTTTGTTTAACTATTAATTGAATTTATAATGATAGAAGTATAGTACCATATCTTCTTGTGTGTGTGTGTGTGTGTGTGTGTGTGTGTTTAACTTCTCCATCTCTTCATGACAGTGGATTGACACCAGCACAGGCCGAGCAGAGTTACCTGAACAAGGCCAAATTCCTGGAGATGTACGGTGTTGACATGCACACAGTACTGGTGAGTCTACCGTCACTCTGGTACTTTTTCTGTCTCCTCAGTGTACGTGTTCCTGCATAACGTCCGTCACTAACACGCTCACCGTACTCTCCCTCGCTCTGCCCTCCAGCTTGTCATGCTCACCGTACTCTCCCTCACTCTGCCCTCCAGCTTGTCATGCTCACCGTACTCTCCCTCACTCTGCCCTCCAGCTTGTCATGCTCACCGTACTCTCCCTCACTCTGCCCTCCAGCTTGTCATGCTCACCGTACTCTCCCTCACTCTGCCCTCCAGCTTGTCATGCTCACCGTACTCTCCCTCACTCTGCCCTCCAGCTTGTGTTAACAGTAATGACTTAATTATTTTTTTTTTAGTCTTGGTCTTCTTGTTTGATTGGTCTATATTTACTGTGTAGTTCATGATGTGGATGTCAGTTTAATGTCGCCCTACACAAGAATAACTATTTTTCATATTAACGGGTTACTACTATACTGTACTGTACTAGGAGTAGGTAGAACTGTACTCTGTGTTTATTTATTGTTGTGTAAATATGCTTTATAGTAAGTTTATTCTATTGATGGAGTGTGTTGTGTTGTGTTGTAAGTTTTCACACACAAGATGACGATTAACAAGACAATTTAGAAATGCAGCACAATGTACCCAAGTCATCTTCACATCTCAGTAGAAGGTGAGACGTCTCCAACACACATTGATGGTATTATTGGTTTTGACAGGGAAAAGATGGTCAGGGGTACAGACTTGGCCTCACCCCGACTGGTATTCTGGTCTTTGAGGACGAAACCAAGATTGGACTGTTCTTCTGGCCCAAGATCACCCGTCTAGACTTTAAGAAGAAGAAATTGACGTTGATGGTGGTGGAGGATGACGACGAGGAGCGAGAACAAGAACACACTTTTGTCTTTAGGTGAGGCTTTAGGCAGAGAGGGAAGGTTACTCTAGCTGTCCTCCGTTATAAAGTGGAATCTGAGAATTAATCCTTCATGTATGATTTAAAACAAAATTGTGTTTTCAGATTGCACAATGAGAAGGCTTGTAAACACCTATGGAAATGTGCTGTTGAGCATCACTCCTTCTTCCGCTTGAAGTCTCCCAGTAAAGGTCCCTCGGGGAGACAGAACTTCTTCAGGATGGGTTCAAGGTTCAGATACAGGTCAGTTGTGTTCTTTATCTTATGTTGGTATTTAAGCAGTTACTTTAATTTCCTTTTTCCTTTTTATAAATACTGTACTGTAAGTTATTGACTTATTTATCTGAGCAGCATTTATAAAAGTATTTATAGAAAATTAAGTAGAAGGGTTCATTCATCTGTCATGTATAGACGATGGTTTATAATGTTTTGTAAATGTATAACCTATTAACTTTATTGTTCTTAATATAAGTTTATTAAGAAGTTCATGGTCATTTCAGTGGACGTACAGAGTTCCAGACAACACTTCAGCAGCGAGCTAGACGTACGGTACAATTTGAACGTCGACCGAGTCAGAGGTTTGCCAGACGACAGAGCCACGTTGTGCGAGAGAAGCAGCGTAAGAGCGTGATAGAGAGGAGGACAGAAAATGGAAAAGGAGGCAGTAGCATTGAGGCTGTATCAGCAGCTGCTGTTGCTGCCACCACCGTTGCTGCCTCGGCCACATCTGCCATCACTGTGGCCACCACTTCCACCACCAGCAGCACCACCAGTGTCACCAAGCCCATAGCATCAGCGTCCAGCACCTCAACTGTCCCGTCCTGCACCACAACCCCTCCTCCCTCACCCCTTGATGCTCCCTCCTCACCCATCCCCTCAGCCGGCATTACTCTCACCCGCCCTCCCACCTCTTCTATCATCTCCCAGGCCTCCTCCACCACCTCCTCCACCTGTGCCTCAGCTGGTGGTGCTGTTGCAGGTTCTCCACCTTCAAGTGATGAAACAGGTACCTCTTGATGTTGTCTTACCTTCTTTTGCAGATTCTGGACATGATATCAACACCTCAGACATTGTTGTAGATAACATACAGTAGTTGTATGCGTGTCACTTAATACACAACTCCTGACAGTATCTTTTGGTAAGTGATAATGTTTTCTTTAGTCTGGTGCAGTTATGATCGTTTATATTCTTGACGGAACTCATAATGTTTTATTTATTTCCAACCAGTCTTCATTTAGTGAGGAAATAACTAATTAAATGGTTGAGATAATTGAAAGTCTCAGTATTTTTTATAGATCTGTTATCTTCTTATGCCTGATTTTATCTTTTTGTTTTGATGAATTACTGCCTCAGGTCACACTGCAGGAGAAGTAAGTTGAAGGTTGTTAAGTTAGGAGGGAGTCTATGTGTTGCCTCGACTCTTGGCTCTCCCTGGACGGACACACCAGTATGTACAGTATTGTAACTCTGTCCTGTGGTCTCCTACACACTTACACCCGGTACAGTTTTATCACGTACTAATTTCTTAATTCTTATTTATTATTTTACAATTTATATCTGTGAAGGAAGAGATGCCACATCTTCTGTGTAACTCTGGCAGCACATTGTTTCTTAGGTCATGTTAGCTCAGGGAGTCAGAGGCTGTGGATAGAACAAGTACATCTTCCTCTTCAGTCTAGGTACAGTATTGGCATCTTTGGAATATTCTCCAGCTTTGATAATAATGACACATGTAGCTGTACCAAAACTTATTCTTCTCAATTTGAAAGACTTGTTTACTTATGTATGGAGAAGTAGATATGTAGAAAAAGATACAGTATATAAAACAGATTTAAAAACAGTAGGTACGATATATAGAGAACGTTCCTCTGAGCTAAAATCTGTGATATGATTTTGAACAATTCCCAAAACTTCCAGCAAGAGGAAATATGATTTATTACACTGGTGGAAGAAATTATCTCTAAATATCTGAACAGTTCTAACCATTGATTCAGTAACACCATATTTGTGTCCATCAGCCAGAACAGAGTTAGCAACACAGACGAGGATTCGTGCACTTTTCTCCGCTCGTTTAAGCCTGATCGTACTAGAGTATGATGCAGGGCGGCCAGAATATACACAAGACTTCATTCACTGTCGTTCATTCACTCTTACTGCTGTCGTAGATGTGTTCAGTGCTAGTGTTCCCTTTCGATAACAAGTCCCCAAATAGCTGTGTGGTGTATGCTGTACTCTTGATGAATGATGTATCCAGTACTGTACATACATATATACATTTCATGAACTGTATACATTACTGTACATACATATATACATTTCATGAACTGTATACATATGTAGGGTGAGTATAACAATGTTATATTATTATTTTTTAATTGTTTAAACCGAGCCGTGCTGCTCCCGTGCCGCTGCTGTATTTTATAAAGACGGTAAGTATTAGTTGGTGTTGTAAGTGTGCTCTGTGGTGCACTACATGCTGCCCTCTGTAGTGGTGCTGGGGCGGTATATTGTCTTAATGCTGTACAGTACAGTAGTTGTGACTCGGGCTTCTCTTCTTATATTTTGTGACGTCTCTGTTTTGAGAAGCTAGTCTTATTAACCCCTACTGCTGTACAGTTCAGGTGTCTGCCACAATTAATTGTTATCTTTGGTGGTATTATTTTATATACAATTAGATATTCAAAGAAATTTTTTTAATTTTTTCTGAAAATCCTTATGAAACATCCCATAGTTGTTGATAATAGGTTTATTGTCACAATCTAGAGTTTGTTTGAAATTCTGTATATTTATATAAGTATGGTTGCTCAAGAATATACTTACCCTTACTAAACTCAACAGTTGCTTGTTGAATGCTACTGTAGTTTGGCATATGAATGCTTGACTGACCTAAGGACCTCTGCATCCCTTTATCTTCACTCTGGTGCACCTTAATCCTTTCCTCCCATTCTCTGGCTGCTACAGTGGCCATCCTTCCCCAACATTCCTCATCTGACAGACAGCTGTGCTAGCACTCCCTGCATAATGTGGAGAATCTTAAGCTTTCTCTCCTCTCATGCTGTAAACTAGACTCACTGTCTGACGAGTCATCTGCTGGACTGAGTTGTGTTGCTGTCACAGTTGACTCTCAAACAGCTCACCTACCTGACCACAAGGTTGTAGTCATCCTCCCTCCAGACAGCTGACCCTCCTGCTGCCCACTACCCTGATGACCTGTGTCTCACCATTCATCCTCTCTCTTTTCTTGCTCTCCTGGGCCTGTAGACGATGCCACGTATGCTGCTGAAGACAGGCTAGACACCTTGATTAAGAACTTGTCCAGATACACAACAGTACCAAGCTATTTGGACAATTCAGTCAATGATCTGGCCAGGGCTAAGCCTAGTCAGAAAGAGATGGGGGCAGAGGCCTTGCCACAGCCCACGGGGGCTATAGGTAAGATTAGTCAGTGTTGCTATGGACTAGTGGCACAGTATAGCTGTATAACTGGCTGCTTTATACTGTATGGTACATGTTATTATGGTGGTTTGCTGCTGGCTAAGGATTACTCTCTGGAAGATAAATTGGTGAAGAAGTCACAGGCAGGTTCCTGTTTTCATTTTGATATTGAACTGTAAAATTTTTCCCACTAATCTTCTCACATCATTGATAATAACTTAAAAGATGTAAAATTTGTAGTGTTAGTAACAATTGGAACTAATATCTAGTAATGCAGTACAGTACAGTATTGTCCTTAGTATCATGCCTGTTGTGCAGTTTGCTGACATTTAATATATTGAATACAGTAGATAAGTTGAGGTAATGCTTTTTTTTCTGAATTAACAATATGGAAGATTTGCTACACCAACAGCATGACCCCAGGTTGTGTAATCTCACCTCTTGATGCATACGCCTAGGATAAGTTGTTGCTACTCACATCTACTACACCACACACACACACGTTTGTTGAGGTCTACCTTTTGTACCTCATAAGAAAATAGATTGAGTTGGACTTTATCTAGAATCTGTCACTTCATTTCTCTGCATGTTTTGATTTTTTTTTCTTTGATTGTGTTGAACATAAAAAAGTTTAATATTTTGCCATTACAACACACTTTAGAATTAGATGATTGTGGTAGAATAGGTGTGTGTGTGTGTGTGTGTGATGGATGATGGTAGCACAAAATATTGCCTGCTAGAAAGGTTATAAATACAGTTTAGGTATTGTGTTCCTCTCATAAATAGTGTGTTTCTGCATGAATGGTTTCCACAAAATATTTAATTTTTTTAGCATTCTGTTTGTTAATTTACCATAATGAACAGGTTAAGACATTGTAATTTATGGGATTATGTCATTGTATTCAGGGGCTGGGCGTTATACTGCCAGGGTAATATGATGAGATTAAGGTAACTGTTGTTTTCATCAAGTGGATTTTAACAAAGGTCACCAACTTGGTCCACCTGAGATTTCCACCTCAATAATCTTGTTCAGCTCAGTAGTAGTGGAGGAAAATATACTCCAGGTTTATAAAATGACAAATGATCTGTGCATGACCTACTTGGTGTATTAACCACTGTACTACTGTGTATGTTATTAAAAGAAGGTGATGACTTGAATGTTTCTGTCATATTATTTATTTCTTCTGTAAGTATTGAATGATTTCATGTTCTGTAATAATAATCTGAATGGTTCTTCCTTATGGACCACTGTGTGTGTGTGTGTGCCTTTCAAAACAAGTATGTAGATTTGTACAGTCACCCACAAAAGTCCTGTTGCCTCACTGGCTGTTCACAAACCCAGAAATTCAGACTCTTGAACCTGAAGCAATAGACACTGATACATTATTCTGTTCATAACTGCTTTGGATTCACAAGTCTGAATCTCTAGGTTTGTGGTTCAGGATGGGAGGTGACACAACTTTTGTGGATGACTGTACATTCTCCTCAGTCATAACAAATTCAGACCAAGAAATGACAAATTATATAACGAATATTGTTATAACAGAAGCAGAGAGCCTGGTGAACAAGATGAAGAACTTGGACAACTGTAACAAGAGCAATATTAACGGGACCGGAGGTAAAGTGTCGTCCAGCTCCTCCACCAAGGTGAAGGACGTCAACGTGGTGGTGGTGGTGCCCAACAACCAGGTCACTCTCACCAAGAACACTGCTCGTCCAATTCCTCCTGACCAGTTTAAGTCAAATATATTGAAAGGTGAATTAATCTAAAGTGTCAATACAATACAGTACAGTTTTATATCTTTGTATGTTATTGTATGAAGCTCATTACTAAAGTCACCAACGTGTATGAGTACTGTATGATTATTTGAATATACGTACTGTAATTTACGTAATCAAGGAGAGGTTTTTGGGTACAATAATTGTGGTAAATAGTGAGTTGTGATGCTGTAAGAGTAGTGTTTATTGAGTGCTGTATGATGTGTGGTGGACATGGGTAGAAGTGAGCAGGAAATAAAAACCAAACTACCGATGATAGGTGTTGGTAGCTGATGTATGAAATTGGTTATAAGTAATTTCAAGATGGAAGGGTTACTCTTAAATTATTTTCAGAAAACAAATCATGATGCATTACTAAAGTTACTTCTATTATATTTTACACAGCCAAGGCCGAGGAGGAATTGAAAAAGGGACCTCTTAGTGTAGACCTTGACAAAGCTTCATGTGGAAAACTCAAGATCTCCAATGGGTAAGTTTATGGATGTAGTGTAGTGGGTGTAGTGTATTATGTGGTGTGGTGTAGTGGGTGTAGGCTCCACTGATTCATCCCTCCTTGTGCGGCCATATGCAACGTCGTGTTTTATGGCTTTTCACGTCTTTATGTTGATCGATGTATGTACAATTATGTTAAAAGGGATTCAGGCTAGAATTTTCCTCCCATGGGCCTGAGATACCCAAAAGCTATATGTGATCATGAGAGGTAAGCCTTGATTAACTATTACACACACACACATTAGTGCATCAGTGAAGTCAGTTACAAGTTTATTGTAATTTCCAAAAACTTGCTTATGATTCTAATGGAAGAGAAATAATATCTAGTATGGCAAAGTTATAAAGCCTAACTTAAGGAGGAATTTAAGTTTCTTTAGGAGGTTTATTTACATTTAATAGTCATAAGGAATTTAGAGAAACATTTATGGGATACAAAAAGGTAAGTAAGGTATTGATGAAAGTTCATACAAATATACTGTATATATAAGTCTGGTAACCTTGGTATTAAAGAAGCTTATTTAGGAACCATTATACTGTATAGGAAGTAACCAACTCAGGTAAACTATACAGGATATAAATAATGAACAAATGACTGTATACTGTATGTGATTTAAGATTCTTTCGGAGTCATAGTGGACAGATTTTCTCTGTCTGTTCTTGTAGTTTTAGAGGAATTGAAGAGGTGATAATTTGAAGGGAAATGAGATCAAGGCTTCATAAAATAAAGTAAATAAGACTTTGAGTAAATAAGATTATGGAGAAATAGGAGGAGTTTAATATCCTAGGAAGACAAGAATAGTGTGGACCAGAGATTGATACTAATGGGGGGGATTATGATAAAATGAAGCATATAATAAAGTTCTTGAGGATATGTTTATTGCGTATTTCTAGGAGGAAGAGAGTGTAGAGTAGAGTAATTGAAGAGGTGTTACACAGAAGAAGAAAAGAGTGTGGAAAGCAATTGATGAATGATTGATTGATGGAGTGTGATAATAACATCTCTGGTGACACAACAGATGAGGTGTGACAATTGATGTGGGTGTACTGGTGGTCAGAGTAGTGACCTGAGAATGGCTTTGTGTATCATAGAGAAATTTAACTTTTACTGTAGTTTCATATCAAGGCTGAGTTCGATAATATGGATGTTTATCAGGTGTGTGTGTGTGTGTGTGTTATTTTCCAGTTACTGCCTCTGTTTAAGTTACAGTTGTTGAAGATAATACTGTATATTATCTCCTCTGGTGTTCAATTTTGTATACTTATTTTAGGACTTTTTAGTGATTGTTTACAGGCAGTTTACATTTTTGTGTTGATATTATTTTATCATCAGTGTATATGTAGAGTACTGTATATATATAAGAACCTCAGTTTGTAGTACTCAGCACATGTCAGTTCTACATCCAGTATCAGTTATATCTCTTTCCTCTCCTCTCCTTCATATTACCAGACAGACATTTGGTTTATTGTATCCTCAGGGTAGTCCTTCAGGCATACTCTTTACTACCTCTCCAGTCCTTCTATAGTAAACTAATGAATTCAGTTATCCTTATTTATTAGTACTTTTCACATCAATATATATGGTGATGTGGCAGCCAAGTGGATACATCTCACATACACCCCTAGTCAACCCAGCTGTGAATGGGTACTTGATCTTAGTTAGGGGGAGTGTAGGTGTTTGAGAGCAGTGCTGGCCACATTGTCTCCTTGTGTACCGAGCCTTGCTGCCTACAAGATCTTTAATACTTATTCATATTCTTATTTTATTTTAGTTAGTTTTCACACACAGTATGTTTAATTTCTCTAGTCATCTCTCCCGGCATTACTGAAGATGTTGACAATCCTTACTCTCACCACCCTACTGCCCTGGTGTACATTTTGCCCCACAAACTTAGCTATCATTTACATTTATTTGTTATTACAACCATTTTACACCATATCTTTTAGACAATGTAAGTAATTCAACTATATAGATATATGGTGTTTTCACTAAATATTATAATTTCTATGATATTGTGTCACAGCTTTGAGTTTTTGACATTTCATATGTAATTTTATAGGGAGGTGGCAGATAGTTCAGCTTGTAGTGAAGAGCCAGAGGGGGCCAATGATGGGTAAGGTGACTTTGTGCATAGCCAAGCATGCTGTCTTCGCCAGTCTGGCCGCCTAATTTGTCCAAGAAAAATTACTAATGTCATCACCCTCACATGCATATCTTATATCTAACAAATGATCATGACCAGAAACTCACTCACCTCTTAATACTGTACGTGTAATATAACCTTTTATCTTGGACAGAATACCGTACATGTTTGTAGCTGCTCACAGTTAGTTCATTGACAACCTTGACCTACTTTTGATACTGTTTCCTTCACCTATGAGTCATAATTGATGTGTAAACCACCACTTGACATCCTTACAACTGCCTTATTCTTTTTTTATATATCACTTATTCTCAGATTGACAGACCTGTATCAGAATCATCTCATTTTTAGCCTCCAGTGAATTATTTCATACGGTGAAACCTCATTGATATTGTCCATTAGATGGAGGTTTCACATCTGATAAACTACTCTTCATAATACCTGTACAGTATATCAGATGGAGGTTTCACTGACCAGAATATTTATAATTTTCAGCCTTCAGTTATCAGTCTAATGTTGTATACGTCACGATAGGTGTGGCTCATGACTCCTTAAGAAACATCGTCTCAAGACCATAAAACACTAACTCTACAGTACTTTAAGGTTGTTCAATTACCACCACTGTGCTAAGTGGTTGGGGCTTCTTATTAACACTTAGAGGATATTGTTGTCAGTAACCTCATGCATTTTACACTAACACTTGCATGGCTACACAACACTAACTGGCTCTGTGCTGCTAAATACTAATAATAAATGTCACAAGCTTCATCGTGTATTCATAACTACAGATAATATGTAAGTTATTGACCGTGAGGTGAGAAAATACGGTAAATATTATTATCATTAATATTTCAGTATCTGCGATTGGATTGTGTAAATACATAACACATTTTTTTAACCTTCATAATGTTTTTATACACAGTAGTTAAGGCAGACTTTCCTGTTAACTGTTACCATTTAGCCTTTATGAACCAGCTTAGATATTTTATTTTATTTTAAAAGTGGAGATCCTCTTATTGGCAGTTTCTGGATATATTGATTGATATATTGATTAAGTTTACATTTATTTGGAAATATTTAAGATGGAATTTTGAAGTAGGAGGCTAGACAGGAGTATTGGAGGTGGGGGGGGGGGGTCCTTCTCCAGCAGGGGTGTATTGGTGCATTAACTCTTAATTAAAGTTTTTATTAAGCCACAAAATTCACTTTGTTTTACTAGAGGGAAATCATCATGGTGTATATTTTTAGTGAAAGACACAAGAACAGTAAACTTAACAAATATCTTTATATATATAACAGAAAATAGATAACTCCACCTAGATAATACTGTAGTCAGTATATTAGTTGTTGCTGCATAAAAATGATAAGGTTGAGCTTTACCATAGAATGACTCTTAAGTTTAGATTTTAGCCAGAAGTTACAACCAAGAGGTGAGTATGTACTGTAGTATTACATAGCCTATCTGTTTGTGTTGCTTATGAAGGAGTTGTGTGATTGGTGTGTTTGTTTCAGTGGTTCTCTGCCTCGCATTAAGAAGGCCAGTAATGCTGATACTTGTGGGAACAGTGAGGGTGCTACATTTGTGTCTGTGGTGAGTAAGGTTTGTTGTGTTTGATGCTCTACAATATTATGCTTTTACCATTTACTTGCTAATGTACTGTTGGAAGTACTGTAGTACTGTAATTATAAAACTTTGGTTTTAGTGAATCCTCAGTTCATCGCTTATTTGTCCTAATTATTTTTTGTTTTAGCTTTAATGTTTTTATTTTAAGTTTGCATCCCAGTTTTTGATTGGTATTTAAATTGTTTTATTGACACTTTGTTGCTTGATATTGTGAAGGGAGGCGACAAGCTGACCTTGTCCCTTGGTGCCGTTGGTGTCGGAGAGAGTGGAGGCAGCAGCAACCCACCCCAACATTTGTTGGAGGCATGGGAGGGGAGGGAGCAGCCTGGCGAGGATTCAACACCTCTCCTCACCCTAGACCCGCCTGTCACAGTCACCCACTTCACCACCCCCAGCCAGAGTACAGCCCTAGACCATCTCACTCTTCCTTCTCAAGACTTGACTGATACCTCTTCTATTTCCTCTACCACCACGAGCATCTCTCTCTCTACCACTAACAACTTTAATAGTAATCCCTTCAACCCATTTGCATCCAGCATTTTTAGCACGAGCAATCCTTTCAGTTCTTCCAGTAATGTAACTAATAATCCCTTCAGTGTGTCTACCACAACTGCCGCTGTCATCTCAAACCCCTTTGTGAAGTCCTCCCCTTCCTCCCTGAGCTCCACAACGTCAACCATGACCGGCAGCAAGCCGGCCTCCAGTAGTGGGGCAGAGGAATCTCTGGGTAACGGTGAGATCAGCCCTAGTCCTCCTTACTCTCCTTCTGATACTCCGGCCGATGGTGTTCCATCTCCACCACACTCTCCCCGCTCCTTTACATCATCCACCTCCTCTCAGGCAAGCTCCCCCTCTTCGTTCTCACCAGACCAACCGGCCACACAGGATCCACATAAAGTAAGTTCCCCAGTAATTTCAGTATCATATATGTACAGTATATAGTTTTCTGCCTTAACACCTCTATGCTTGTGTGTGCATGACTGGTATTGGTAAGGTAGTTTGATTTATTTTATGTGCGTGTGAAATTATTTCTTTCATATTTTTCTTTATATTTTAATAATACTGTACAGGGATGCAGTGGATACAGCGCTTGCCTCCTGTCCTAAGGCTTAGTTACTGCTTTAAATCTCAGGGCACCTACAGTTGACCCAGTTGTGATTGGGTACCCAATTTTGCTGTTGAGGAAGTGAAATTGGTTGAGTGCAATACCGGCCACACTGCCCAAGTGACTCACTGTCACAACACAGTAAAGTTTACTGTATTAAATTATAATGTAGGAGTGGAAAAGGGATTAAATCAAAAAAGTTGTCTTAAAAGATAAAAATAACACAAGATGATCGTAGGGAATTAGTTCACTAACAGTCAGACTTAACCATTAAATACATGTGCTGTATCAGTGTTATGGTAAACCCTATACTGTACAGTGCTGTATCAGACTAATTCACAGTGAAATATTATATATTAATATGAAATATTATATATTAATATATATATGGATGAATAACTAAAATAATTACATGAATATTGTTCGTTATAAAACTCATCCCTAAGTAACACAAAAACATTACTGAATGAAAAACAGAGAAGATTGCTACAGTATATAAATATCAACTAAGAATTATTATCTCCTGTTATTGTCAGTGTTGTGTTGATAATACTTAACTGTTCACATGTTTCTTCCTATAACTTGTTTCCTGATGTATAGTATAAAGAGTTTCAGACAGATGAATGTTTTGTTTTGTCTCATTTTAATCAATTATACTTTTTCTTTTTCTTGTGTTCTTAACATTTGCTGGTTACATCATAGGAGGATTATGACATAGGTGTCATATGTAAGTCGGTGGGTTTCTTGTTGTTTTTCTTATTTTACATCTTAGCATGTTTCTATTTATGGGTAGAAAACATTAGGACATTATTTTAATAGTTATACTGTATTGTAATTCTAAATGAGTTGTTTTATGTAGTATGATAATCTTTTAACTTATGGCAGTTTATCCCTGATTGGTGCCTCCCTCCTCCCATCGTCTTTCAAAGTGAATCATACAGTATTGTCCACGCATCTTACTGTACTACTAATTATTTTACTTGTATATCTCTCACCCTATCATGTAAATATCTAATAATGTTGTAGATAATAACCACACATACTACATTATATATGCCTGTATATATCATCCACCCACCTTTTATACTTTCTCATTCAGTCTTTCTATCTTAAGTAATTTAATGCCATAAAGATCAATGAGGATGATATACTGTACTTGTCATTGACTTGTACAGTAGTGAGCATTCTTCAGTAAGCCAGTGATAATGTTTATGAAATTATCTATTACAGTATTGTATTAGTCTTTCCAACACCCAGTCAGTGCCTAGTCAATACAAAAATATTTCTGTATCGTGCAGGAAACCACCTTTTCGGGAAACCAGCCTGTGACGCGGTCAGTGTCGTCCACCAGTAACCGCAGCTTTACGGTGACCAAGAGCACTGCTAATTCAACCCTCAATCAGATGTCTCCCTGGCTAGTGGCTGACCCCCCTGTACCCCCACTCTCGAACAAACTGGAGGCCCCTAAGATGCGCACGGTGATAACCACGGAGCTGTAAGACCACTCCACAGTCAACTTGCACTTCTTTTGTTTTTTACATAACTTAAATGTGTATCCAAACTTATTCCTGTCTTGTTTACTTTCATATTACAATGGAATTGTTGCTTAGTACTCCCACATTAAAATATTTTAACATAATTTCTTGGTATACAAAGGTGAATATGTTTACTTAAAAATGTAACTTTCCTTAAGTTATCCTTGAAGGGACTGCAGCTATTCCACACAACTATAATGGTAATATGATGTGCCTTCTCAGCCTTTCCATTATGATTAAGGTCGTTTAACTGTAACTATGTGTATATAGTCATCTCATAATTTTCATATTGAATGGTTAATTGTAAGGATTTCTTATATAGTTATCTTTTCACTAGTTTATGTGGACACACTGAGAATTTTCTTGGATGCCAGAATTAGATTTTTATTATTTAAGCCGAGTTATTAAAGACTTATGTGCTGGACTTGTCATGTGAGTTAATGTCTTCTGTGGACATCCAGTTTGCATCCTCAGAGTTTCAAGTTAATAAACTTTGTTACCTGATTGTATGTTGACTATTTCATTATTGGAGATAGATAATTTTCTGTTTAAAGTTTTAAGGAATAAATAGGCAGCTGGATAGGGCTGGAAACTCTGAGAGATGGTCGAGATGTCCACAGTGTTGCATCTCATCAGTGTTGGGCTTGTAGGACATGCTATTGTACTTAAGAGAATGACATATGAAAACCTAATATTGTATCCTTCTGAAGATCTGATTGTTGATGTTATGGATATTATTTTATAATTATTTTTTACAATATTTACAAGTCCAAAATTATAGAACTATAAATCAAGGATTCTCAGCATGTTACACACACATGTATTATGGTATGTGCAGAGTTTATACTGATGAAGACTGGTGTGGACTAAATAAGCTCCTCCTTTGTTATCTATGATGAGAACCTATGATTTAAGTAATATCTATGACTGGTAGCTACACTGTATCAAATGCTTGGTTTCCATTTCGAGATTCTTAGTAATGTTGATTGATCCTACCGTTAACCATTCTTCATTTATGATAACAATGAATATTCTTCGCATATATTATGTACAATATTTGGGCCTGTGTGTCAAAATGCCTTGGGACTTTCAGCAGGCCAAACAAAAGTAAATTGTTCCAAGTTTTGTGTTACTGATCAGTCAGCTGTCACACCTGCTCCTGGCCCCCTATCTGTGTATAGGGTCTTGCTTCCTGCACCTGTACTTTACATAGTCTTGCTCAGAGGTTCATAAATGCAAGTAGTCGCTGAATGATGGAGATGCTCAGTGTGCCAAATCCTGTGCAATATTATGTATCAGCCTTATCAGTAGATCATAAGCGATACCAAGCTTGTATAATTTTCTTCTGACAAGGTTATGAGTACATTGTGCTTTTCAAACTACTCTGTTGTCTTCATTTCCTTTGGATCTTGCCAAAGATCTCAATAAAGGAGAATGGTCTTATAGGTAAACAAACAAGTAGAAATGAGTAAGCTTGAATGTTTCTCACTTCATGCTGCTCTCAGAACTTGTTTTTGACAATACTATTTTTCTACCTTATAATTTGGTGGTAGGACTTCAAAAATTGGTATCAGGAGTGCAGGGGGTAACCTGTCCCAACCCAAGATGCAGCAGCTGTTGTAGCACATCCCAGGACTGTTGAAACTTGCTATTTTGGCCACAGTATGGACTGCATTCTGACTTCATGTAGACCATATTACTGTTTTTTATGTAGCATGCAGCAGTTCATACCCGATATCGTCTCATTGATAAGGACAAAATGTTTCATGTTGAAATAGGAGTAATTTTATATCAAGTGTATTTTTATAGGGTTAACATGCTGGGAATGTTACATGATTCAGTCAATAATTACATCTGTAATTTTTACACTAATTACTAGGTGAGTTTTATGTACTACAGTATATGATTATTATTATGCTTCTCTAGGAATTTTTCCTCATTACTTTTAGTTCTGTTGGGCTCACATAAGATTATTGCTTCCTACAGGTACATTAAAGGGTTCCAGAACACCTGTGAGGTTGTGAGTAACCTGAACATACGTGTTGGTCCATTTAGTGTGTTATTGTCGTCTTGCCTTTGACAGCTTCATTATATTGACTTCTGTGAACACAAGTCCAAGAATAACTTCAACCTTCCATTGTTTGAATTAAATTAGTTCACTATAATTTATGAAGTTGTGTATCATCTTGAAAAATGTAGATCATGTTCCCACCACCATGATGGATGCTGCTGAGAATATAAAAACAATCACACAGTTTGTTAATGAAAGTATCGGTGTTTATTAAATTACAGTACTGTACCAGTCTTAACAATTGTGCCACTGAGGTGCATAATATTGTTGAGTGGGGTGACTGTACTGTACCTCCTTCATATCATTTATGAAGTAAGTTTAAATTTGTATTTTTTTAACTCGGCCTTAAGTAGTACAGTACTTGAGTAGTCTGTCGCAGTAATGGTCACTTGTTCTACATTACATTCCTCAAAGGGCAAAACACCACAAATATAAATTTGCCCGGAAGATATTTTATTACGTAGTTCAAGCCATTCCTGGATTACTGTTTGTTGAAGTCAGAATTATGAAGCCAAGATGATACTTAACTAAATGAACTGATACATCTATGTTACAGAATATTCTCAACCTCCCAGGTCAGGTGGAACCTTTTATAGGTCTGTAAAAAGGTGCAATTTTCTTAAGTCTCTCACAGTAACAAAAATATGCTGAGAAATATTAACATCATAAAGTACATAAGATCCATCAAAGTGATTACTTCTTCTTCTTCTTCTATGGTAAAGAAAATAAGGCTGAGTTACATGGAAGCAAATGTTTAATAATTTTCATAAAGTTTCATCATTGTAATGCATTTCATATATTTAATACATAGTAGGTAAATTGTTAAAAGCTATGGCAGCTTGGCTAACTAACCTCAAGAGTGTGGAAATGATATAGTGTTGCAAGTGTTATTTGTACAGTGAAGGTGTAATATATGTGTGTGACATGATTCGTTTTGTATTATTATCCAGTGTAAAGTATACAAGTTTGTGCAGATGTGGGTGTACTGTATACTGTAACTGTCTATACTTACTTGTATGTTATTTGATCCAGCCTCTCATGTTATGTTCTTAATCTCTGATGTTATTTCTTATAACCTCTCTGCATGTCATTCTTGGCCCACCATAGCCTCTCCTCCATATGTGAACTCTTGCACCTCAGGATCATTATCAGTGTCACGTAGGACCTATAGTAAGAATCTGAACAAAATCAAGGTCAGATTGGTTTGACCTTTTCTCTTGGAATTTGAAATTAATGTTTAATTACTTTAGCAAATCCATAAAAAAATTGTATAGAAATTTACAAGTAACTTAGCCTTGAAAATATGTATGGAATTATTCTAAGTCAACAGGACATGTATAATTCTTTCACACACAACTACACTACATTACTAAACCATAACCACAAGTGATGGAGGATTACTAATTTATGACAACCACTACAGTAATTAATAACCACTAATCCAAAGCGTAGTAGAGGTAAAGCTAATCAGTGATGGGGGCGATAACTAATCTCAAGCACGATAATAATGGTAAACCTCCGCACTGTTCATTCTTGACTAACTCCAGGTGTAGTTGTTGTGACTAAGTCTTGGGTTACAATACATGTTTGACTAATCCCTTGCACGGTCCTCCTCGGCCTTGAGGAACCACTTGCCCTCTGTGTTGTAGTTCTCACACTCCAGCAGGGCCGTGTTGGGTAACTGGAAACACAGATACCACAAATAATCACAAAGAAAGAACTCTCACATGCTGGCCTCTGGGGGGGGGGGGTACTGTGATCTGACCATTTTGCACAACATGATAACAAATAGTAAAAGCTGTGCAATATGAGGGAACAAATGAACTATTTATGGTGAGTGAGCACAGTAATTTATAACTACTTATCCTATTCAATCACTATTGTGACAGATACAGTGTTGAAACTATGAAATATATGTTTTAATATACTATATTGTGAGAATATTACCTTGGGCAGAGGGGTGTAGTCAGGGTGGGGTGTGTAGCGAGGGTGTTCAGGGGTCATGTAGGACTTGTTGTGGCGCTGATTGTAGGCTATGACATAAGACCATCGTCGCTGGTCTGAGGTGTTTGGGCCAGAGCAGTGGATCAGGGTGCTGGGGAAGTACAGCACATCTCCAGCCTTCATCTCCATGGATATTTGATCCAGCCGTGCCTTAGCCTATCCATGAGAACGAGTTTAGTCATCTGTAACATGAACACTACTTCTGGAATTAAATACAAATTCAGTAAGAGTAAGATGGTTCATGTTGTTGTCTACATTTTTGCAGGACACAGGTATACAGTGTACAGTATCTCATAAAAGTATCTGTCCACACTGTGTCAAACATTATGAGACCACGGCTGATAGATACTGGGACATGCATTTACTTTGGTATATAGTTTAACATAAGTAATGCAATGTGTATTTATTTTGGCATAATTAATATGAGGTTCAGTTACCAAATGTAGTAGGATCAGTATACCAACCCTCCCTGAACATCACAAGTTGCATGTAACATTTTGGAAGTCATTGGACCCTTCCTGGTAGATATTGTACATTGACAGTACAGGTATACAAATAGCATAGACGGACAGTACAAGTATAGTATTACAGTGGAGATAAACAGAGGATCCTAACCTAACTCAATCCAACAGAACTTAATGTAACCCAAACTAATCTAACCCAAATTAACCTTATGACTAATCCAAACAAGCCTAACTGAACCAGACCAGACCTGACCTGACCTAACCTATACAGCATACATAGACAGTGCAGCTACCCAAGGTGTTGACGTCGACACAAGACAGTTGCTGGTATCCTAGGCACTAAAAGACCTCTTCCTCTACTTTTTCTCTATAGGGCCCACAAACATGATGTTTTCTCTTCACTTACAGCCTCTACTCTCTCTGGGTCAACCTCCAGTTGCTTTCCCTGGACTTTGTGGTCGATACGTCCCATGCGGTGTGATCCACGCAGCACCTGGAGGCAGCCGTTCTCCTCGGTACAGTCGTCTACAGCGATGAAGACTGAGCCAGAGTCTGGGTACAGGTAACCCCAGTTGTAGAAGTAACTTAAATTAAAAAATAAATAAATAAATAAACAAAGAACAGACAATATTCTGTATGCAGTATATTTTTCACATTTCAGTCATTTCCATCCGCAGTATAACGGGCAAATCCAGGAATATCAAAAAGGGGTCCAAAAAGTTGTGGGTGGGAGAACTTGGTGGGTGCAGCCCACCCATTTTGAAGCCATGTGCATTTGATATTGGGAGATATTCTGAAGTCAATAGTAAATACTTTTTACTATACAAAAATGCTGGAGTACAATACTGCATTAAAGAAAAAGTATTGGAATTTTCTGGTGAAAAGGGGGGGCTCCAGACCCCAAGGACCTCCCCTGGATCTGCCCTTGCATAACACTAAGTGGCCAGAATACAGTACAAACACAAACTCTCCTGCCATTTGCACTTTCATTACTCCATTACTCTTCCTGTTGTGGCCTGCTATGATGTTTCCTAGCCACAACAAGGCCATAAGTGTGTATCTTCTTTACTTCACACAGCCAAGCATTACCCATCAGCATCACATTAAAATAAACACATTTGAGAATAAAACAACAGACTTGTTCAAAATAATTCTCAAACATTACCCAGAAAATCACACACAAATGGAGATAAGAAACACACAGTGGAAATACATCAATAAATAGTAAATGAAGACTAGAGTGACATCAAAAAGTCCACTACTGCAGAAGAAACATCCCACACAGAAGACGAAGTTAAAACACGTACAGTATACCATACCTGGTGTGTGTGTCATGTTCACAGGTATAAAGTAATGATGAACAGTAAGTGAGCCACTACAGCAAGTCAGGTGAGGCATTCATTGGGCTTGACTAACACTCATACAGTAACAAAACTAACACAACCTTTACCCATAGTCTTGGTGCCAAGTGAATGACCCGCCAGTCTTAGGTCCCTTCATCAACACCTTACTGCTGAAGTGGTATACCTCATCGCCTCCCATCAGCTGAAAGTCAATCAATAACTGTGTAAATGAACGACTTTCAACACTATTAATTACACCCCATTTCCTCTATTAGCTGATACAATAAAGTAAATGGGTTTATAAACAACTTCAAGCCTATTAAACACACCCTGTTCCCCCCAATTAGCTGTAATGCCAGTATAAAGAGGGAAACAATTTGACTTCAGAGTAGGAAATGAATAAATAATTTAGGTTAGGTTTGATCTGGCTCCATTAGTTTGAATTAGATTAAACAGGTTAAGTTGGATGGGGTTAGGTCAAGTTATGTTAGGTTAAGTTGAATTAGGTTTAGCTAAATTAAGCTTGGTTTGCTAAGATTAGGCTATTCTAGGTTGGGTTAGGTTTAGTTATGTTGGATCAAATTAAATTAGGTAAATAAATAAGTAAAGTAAATGTAAGTAATGTCAGCAGTAGTCTCACTTCCTCCATAGTACCAGCAATCTTGTGCAGGCTGGCTAGCACACCAGTCACGTCGTCCTTGGCATAAAACCACAAGATCATGCGAGTCTCCCTGCTGTCTCCGGAAGCTGTCACATAGGCGTTCTCTTGCATCTGTGGACTCTCCAGGGCTTTACGCATCTTCTGAACTTCCGCTGGGTTGAGTACCTGTCTAGAGAGTTCAAGTCGCTCAAGTTTTAAGAACATAAGCATGGAGGAAACTGCAGCCCCATTTACACCTAACTCCTATCACTCGTATATCCATCCAACCTATGTTTTAAGCTATCCAAGGTATTCTAGTTAATGATGTTTGGTAATTTGTTCCTCTCATCCACTACTCTGTTTCCAAACTAAAGTTCAGCTGATGCTCCCGGGGTGCCTAAAGTTCAGTTGATCCTCCCCGGGGTGCCTAAAGTTCAGTGAATCCTCCCCTGGGGTGTCTAAAGTTCAGTTGATCCTCCCTGGGATGCCTAAAGTTCAGTTGATCCTCTTCGGGGTGCCTAAAGTTCAGTTGATCCTCTCCGGGGTGCTTAAAGTTGATACTCCCCAGGGTGCCTAAAGTTCAGTTGATCCTCTTCGGGGTGCCTAAAGTTCAGTTGATCCTCTCCGGGGTGCTTAAAGTTGATACTCCCCAGGGTGCCTAAAGTTCAATTGAGCCTCTGAGGGGTGCCTAAAGTTCAGTTGATACTCCCTAGGGTGCCTAAAGTTCATGTGATCCTCCATGCGTGTGTAAATATGTTTATCACATATGAAAAATATCTTACTCCATTATCTTATCAACCATTACCCTAGCTATTGCTGATCTTAAACCCTGAACTTAACCTATCCCTCACCCGGAAGTAAATGAGATTAAGACTAGATTATGGTTAAGCTTGGTATTATTACTTAACGTTAACATTCCACATCCCCCCAAAAAACCTATAATATAATAACTTCCCATACTGCATTAACTTGTGGTCTGCCTATAAAAACGTAACCTTATAAAAACTCAAAATGGTTACAACAGACTTATAATAGTGTAATGTTTATAAATATATGAATAATTACCCGGTAAAGTCAAATTAAATCAAATTAAAACCCACCTCAAGAGTATGTAGCCATTGGTGTCATAAGCAGCTTTAATGGCAGGGGTTACTGTGAACGTCGCCTCATTGTACGTGATTACTGATGACTCTGGAAAATATTTACATTAGCACACAGTATTTAGTAATTAAAAGACCTTTGAGTACAATGACTCGTCCATGGGTACAACTTCATCAAAAATAATAAAGTGAACCTAAAGAATTGTCAGTTTCTGTGTTAGTTGACGTGTTTATTTCTAAGCTAGAGTTGTATGAGTTTGTGTGTGTCTCGACGTTGGAGTGGACATGAGTGTGCTGGAGTGGTTTGACTGAGTGTGCTGGAGTGGTTTGACTGAGTGTGCTGGAGTGGTTTGACTGACTGTGTTGGAGTGGTTTGACTGAGTGTGCTGGGTGGTTTGACTGTGTGCTGGAGTGGTTTGACTGAGTGTGCTGGAGTGGTTTGACTGGAGTGTGCTGGAGTGGTTTGACTGAGTGTGCTGGTTTGACTGAGTGTGCTGGAGTGGTTTGACTGAGTGTGCTGGAGTGGTTTGACTGACTGTGTGGCTCGGCTCTTTGGGGTGGGTGGGTGAATTATTACGTTGTTGCTGTGGTGACTCCAACTGAGTGTGCTGGAGTGGTTTGACCCCAAAGGTTTCCCAAGGACCCAGTGACAAGAAATTCAAGGTCGTCTGTGTTAAGTGCTGGGTGTGCTCTTCGCTTTCTTTATCTCCCGTTCCCCCTTCTAATCTTCCCCTCCCTTTCTCTCCTGCTCCACTATCTCTTTCTCTATAAAATAACCCGAATGTCTAGAAAGCTGATAAATGGTGATACGTTAAATTAAAATTAATTGGGACCTCCTCACCCGACGAGGGAGTTAGTACCGCCGCATAATGTGAATATATTATCGTAAATTATAATATAAATAGTTAGTGTTTATTCAGTGAATCATTTAAAGTAAAATCAAATAAGTGTAAAAATATAATAACCTAACTTAACCTCGAGGATCGATATGACTAATAAACATCACTAATGATCAAACCTGTTAAGTTCAAAATTAAAGTAATGATCTACATATTATTGTCTGTTAATCCATGTAACGTAATTGGTGTGTTTGTGTGATTATTGGCAATGTTTGTCACTGAACTTGAAAAATTGTGTTTCTACTTTTACCGAGCATACTACACACACACAAGCAGTACTTGTAGGAATATGACTTATAATTAAGATTAAAATTTTTACCTGCCATAATGTGAAGAAACCAAGAATATGATGAGAGAAGTCGACTGAAGTATTACCACCACGACGACACACACGAGGCTACTGACGTCCCCGAGGAGGAGGCGGGGACGGGCCCTCACTCGTCGCCGTCCACCTCAAAGACTATATACTCAAAAGTCAAGACAGGAATGAGTGTAAAATAGTTGGTAATAATACTAGCTGGGACCTCAAGCCAAATTTATGGAACGCCATGACAGGTTATTCATCACTTGCAGTAATTGTATGATAATTATGCAAGAGAAAAGATAAGTCTTTTATTTTCTGAACTCTCGGATCTTGAGGCAATGGAGTCTGAAAATTATACAGTAGTGTTATCACTCTCTCTTTATATGTATACATACATGCATACATAAGATGAAGATTGAGGTCTAAGATAAATGGAAAACGTAAAAAAAAAATCACTCATGACTTCATATCAATGTATGTGACGTCACGAATAGCTTTTAGACGCAGCCAATAGATGGCGCTATTATTGAGGTATCTGGCAACTGTGCCGTACACATTTCATATATTCTAGCTGGATCTTTCCTGTCATGAGTAGAGTATCTTTGGTCCACCGAGCCTTACTGCAGACGTTATCAGGAAAGATTATGATAAGACAGGAAAGCAAGGCAACAACCACGTAAGCCACATAGCTCACAGTTGGCGGCGGAATCAACAGATAGCGACAGTGTGCAAGGAGCGGGTCGTGTGTCAGGGGTCCGCATCCTTCCTTTTCCTGCCGTATGTGGCCGGGAATTGTTATCCATGCGGCCGGCTGAACCACGTCCACAATAAGGGTGATGCGGCCTGAAGTCTTAACCTCGAGCTGGTGGACGATGACAGCTGCCCCTCCACTACACCATCAGGTCATCCCGGGCTTGATCATCGCTGACTGCTCCCTAGTTTTCTTTGCACAGCCCCAGTTATTAGCAAGTTTTATACATAATAACATAATTAATCGTGAATATATGTAGAACAAGGTGTTTAAGTAACAATGAATTATTTAGTCAATGTGGAAGAAAAGAGCGCGTGTTATCACAACTCGTCTGCTGCTGCCTCAACTGATGGCTCCTAGGCTACTCTCACTACCGTAGATATTTCAGATAACTGCACTGGAATTACGATGGTCATATACATTTTTATAACAAACACGAGGGGATTTGTGCATCCATCACAGCTGTGTGTAGGGACAAGTTGCTGACAAGCTTCGTCTGCTAGAGTGCTAGGGCCAGCAGTGCTAGGCAAACCTAGGCTAATTTTGCATTGCATTTTATTTACCTTTTATGAATAACCTACAAATTTAGCTTTTGCCTATTACTGTATAATTAATTGCTACAATTAAAACCTTTTGAAATACGGGTGACTAGTCAGGTGACAGGGAAAGGTTCTGTAATATAGGCCTAGGTATTCTGTTTCTGGACATTGAACCAGGAGTTGGAGTCACCATCACCCTGAGCTTGTGTCATGTTTTCCCGTTCCTATATGTCATTGATCATATAGAATTTACTGTGTGATATTGTATGTGTGTACACATTAAGAACGTCAAGGCAAAGACGTCAAGATAATATTACCTTGACGTTTTTAATGTGTACACACACACACACACTATCACACAGTATATTCTATATGATCAATGATATATAGCAACGGGAAAACATGACACCCTATCACTCGGCTGGGTACCGTGGAAACTGGGATATGGTACCTTCACGCGCCCCGAGTTTGTAGTTGGCCGCGTTGCCAATAGATGGCGGCGATAGCGCTCAGTGACACCCGTGTTTGTAGTTGGCCGCGTTGCCAATAGATGGCGGCGATAGCGCTCAGTGACACCCGAGCTTGTAGTTGGCCGCGTTGCCAATAGATGGCGGCGATAGCGCTCAGTGACACCCGTGTTTGTAGTTGGCCGCGTTGCCAATAGATGACGGCGATAGCGCTCAGTGACACCCGAGTTTGTAGTTGGCCGCGTTGCCAATAGATGGCGGCGATAGCGCTCAGTGACACCCGTGTTTGTAGTTGGCCGCTTTGCCAATAGATGGCGGCGATAGCGCTCAGTGACACCCGTGTTTGTAGTTGGCCGCGTTGCCAATAGATGGCGGCGATAGCGCTCAGTGACACCCGTGTTTGTAGTTGGCCGCGTTGCCAATAGATGGCGGCGATAGCGCTCAGTGACACCCGTGTTTGTAGTTGGCCGCGTTGCCAATAGATGGCGGCGATAGCGCTCAGTGACACCCGTGTTTGTAGTTGGCCGCGTTGCCAATAGATGGCGGCGATAGCGCTCAGTGACACCCGTGTTTGTAGTTGGCCGCGTTGCCAATAGATGGCGGCGATAGCGCTCAGTGACACCCGTGTTTGTAGTTGGCCGCGTTGCCAATAGATGGCGTTATCAGTCATTTGCCTTATTTCACCAAAGAGCCTGAGTTTAATCTGGCCTCTATTGTTTTTTATTTTACTTAAAATACGTAAAGTATATTGTGGTAAGATTTATTTATTATTTAGCTACAAATATTTATGTATTTACGTAAAATTTATAGGTTTATACTAAAGGATCCCTTATACTCGTGGTCCTTGACTCGGTTGTTGTCGTTGTCATTCCTCACGCATGGCGCTGGTGGTCCCTTAGGGTGTACACACAAGGTAAGTTAATGAATTACCTGATTTACCGCGTTACCACAGATTATTATGAGTTGTGATGACTGGTTAATATATATAGGACTAACCCGCCAAGGCTGCAGAGAGATGATGAGACCGTATCATCTCACGTCCAGAAATGCCTCAAGTTTCACCATATCATAGTAAGTTGTTCCTGTTTAATATACCGGGGAGGTTAGGTAAGGTTGGGTAGGTTTGGTTGGTTTGGTCTGTTCTTCATGACCACAAATGTTAAGTAGCGTTTATTTAAAAAATATCTGTTTTTAAACACATTTTCACAAACTACAACAGTGTTCACTATAATATAACAATGAAAATCCTGCGTTTTTATAATTGTTTTCAGTCTATTTCGTATGCTGGTTAAGCCTATATAATTATCATGTAATATAACACCAGCTTGACTTGAGGCTTTAACGAGCAGAAAAACAGTTCCTGTGAAAGAGCATACACGTTAAGGGAGTTATGTGAATAACAAGCAAATAAGTACAAAATAATTATCATTTCTATGCATAAGCCTTCTTTATGTATTCCTTAATAAGTGCTAGTGGTAAAGGACACTGTTGTAGTTTGTGGAAATATGTTAAGAACGGATATTTTTTATATAAACACTACGTAACATTTGTGGTCATGAAGAACAGACCAAACCAAACAAACCTACCCAACCTTACCTAACTTCCCAGGTACATTAAACAGAAAGAACTTACTATGATATGGTGAAATTTGAGGCATTTCTGGACATGAGATGATATGACCGCATCAGCGCCATGCAGCCCTGGCGGGTTAGTCCTATATGTTAACCTATTACATATATTGTATATACATTTTGGTCAAATATATGCATTTTCGTCTTTGTTTGGATATTAAAAATATGTTTTTCCGATGTTATTTGACAAGTTTCAAACGGATTTGATATTAATTTCAGCTGGAAATCAATAGCTTTTGAGATCCCCTTCCGCCCCCCCTCCTTACCCTACCCATCAATCTTAACGAAAATGTATTGTTTTTCGAGTAAATCACGTAAATAAAATATCAACCAACCAACCAAACCAAACCTGACCTAACACTATTTTTCTGATGAAACTGCAACTGACATAAAATAATCTCTATCACAATGTCGGCACAGCTCTTTCCATCTGTTCGGTCATATCTGGTTATTCTGGTACTGAAAAATAAAATCTCCGCTCCCGACGCACCCACTCATTGTTCATTGGCTGAGACAAAAACTTTTGCTCAATTATAAGTCTTCTATCGCTATAGCCAATAAGAAACTCCCACACCACCCCCCGCACATGCTCTGTAGATGCTTAAGAGGCCCACACGGAGGTAAGGAGCATTTCTCTGTGAGACTTAAACAACAAATGCCTCAGGAGGTGGGAAGCATAACAAAGTTGATAATTGTTGTTTGTGGTAATATTTCATTCACTCTAGTAATGATACATTGTTTCTTATTATGTTATCATAGGTAAATTTATAGTTTATGGTAATTTGTTTATCAGTATGTTAGTACTGTATTTTTGGTGTTTCTTATATTATTCATTGTTCGCCGGAAAATTCGTATACGTAATTGGCTTTTCTGGACAGGTGGTCTCCCATTTTAGTCCGGATCTTCGAGGGTTAACTGTAGTACCTCTATAGTTTTATATATTATATTTTCTTTATTTATAAGAGTTTAATAAGTGTTAAAAAGGTTGTTTTTTCTTAGACACGAATTTGTGAGATCAGCCTGTAGGACTGTGTATTGTAGGATTTATTGGGGGTCCTAAGAGCGAGTTTGAACTAATGAGAAAACCTGTTAAGCTGGCACCTCCGAATCCTTGTAGGTGCCGGATAACCTGTCTACCTGTCTAAACTACTGTATTAATGTACCACTAATTTAGCTGGGAATATTAAGGCACAAATGACAGAGTTTGTCAAGCATGGAGAGGTTGCCAGTCCCAATAAAGTTCACATAAACCAAACTTGTATAAAACAAACAACTTCTGTACTGAATGACTATTAATTTATGGACATACATTTGTCATAAACTGCTGTGTATATTAAATGTTTTTTGTTTGTTTGTTACAGATGAGTTAAAGACCCTTGGGAAATTGATCAGCGCCATCACAACTGAAAATGATAACTGCAGGCTGATATAAACAGCTGCCACTGTAGAACTTAATTCCAATGAATCCAATAACACCACCACTACTACTACCTCATCACCACCACAACACCATCACCTATGGCAAGGTAAACTAAAGGAATCATTTGTCTGTCTTCCATTTATATCTTTCTATCTACTGAACTGTTTATGTATGTTTGTGTGTCTGTGTGTCTTTATGTGCCTTTCAGTATATAATATCAATACTTACCTAAGTCTGTTTTATCTGCTGTATATCTATCAGTCTATTTGTCAATACAAGTACAGTATTGGTTAATTTACACTTTCAACCAATATGGCCCTTGAGTTGAGCATTGTTATCGTAACTTAATTTTATGTATGTTGAATAGCAGAATGATAGAAATAATGTAAGAAATTTAGTTTGGGAGTTATATATGTGTTACATTTAATTTAGGTTATATTTAGTTGAAGAAATATTTAATAGTTACCTCATTTGTAAATAATTACTCCTGGTTTAAATAATAGTCTTGTACGAGTATATTCCTTTGCGCGCGCATCCTAGCAGCTACCGTTAAATGTCAAACTATCTGCCATCATCAGTTCCTTAACGATCGTGACCAGAGAAACACAACCTTCAGTAAAAACTGGCGATAATGAAGGGGCTCCACCATTAATTCCTGACCTCTATCCACATCAGCAAATCTTGAGTAACAATTTATATTGTAGGATACCCTAACTTTATACTTTGTACGTACAGTGATATCTATGTTAGCCCGAACAATTGGTGCAGAGTACTTCTGGAAATGAGACTTTTCTGGGTAGCAAGATGACTCTCAAAGACGGAAAAATGTCCTCCATCCCCGGAATTTTGGGGGTACCTGTACCGGAAAATTTTTCTCGGAATTTCAGGAAAAGCGCCCGATTTTCATCTCTCAAACCTGGAAAAAAGTCCCCCCCTCCTCGGAATTTTCTGGGTATCGGAGAGTTCCGGGTTTGAGGGACTCCTGCTAACGGAGATATTACTGTAGTTTGATGTAATATAAACTCCGACATTGCCACTTAAGGTAATCACCCATTTTGAGTGTTTATATAATGCGTATAACGTAATGTAAATATTTCTTGTCCTGATATCAACCAGTTCAGGACAAATGTGTTTTTCTGATGGTTTAGACAGTTTTAAGACACTTTTCCTCTATGAAGTTTCCCTAACAAATAACTTAAATATATCAGGGGGTCCAGGGCAGTTGGTGCCCCTGGTTAGGAGCTTAAGTTTGGTAATTTTAGGTCATTTATGAGGGAAACATCATAGAAGAAAGGTCTTACAATTATCTAAATCAGGGGTTCTCAAACATTTTCCAGTACTACCCCATCTAGTGTTGTCGCCTATCCAGTGCGACCCCGAGTCATTACAGTAAATATAAAGACTCTTAGAATAAATACGGACATATTTTTACACGTTTTTAACTAAAAACAAATCGGTAAAATATATTACATAATTGGGAAGAGTAAAAGTAAACACTGGCAGAAACAGGTTACAACTCTGTCATGATTATATAACCTGCGGGGTATAATGACGTGGTTAAGCAATATAACATGTAGTTTTCTTAGTTACAACTCTTGTCATAATTCATGTAACATGTGTACATAATTACCATTTAATTAATCTTAATGCATGGTACATCAGTCATAATGCATATTTAACATGTGTGCATTACCATTTAATAAATATTCTGTTAACCGGGGGTATAATTATATTGTTAAAGAACGCACACTACAACTGTGTACGTCATCATCTGATCAGTTTTCTTTACCTGGTGATATATGAAGTTTAGCAATATAACACAATTTTCTATGTACAAGTTTGATGAACTACAGATGCGGTAAATCATTGTTTATACCAGAACGTTGATAGCTAGATTTATAACAGCTGAATATCTCTGATAAAATAATCCCAAACTTTGCTCTGTCACCTTAGATGTCAAAATTCACCCTTGCCTCATTGTCAGCCTGTAATTCTGACATTTAGAGTGCAAAAGACTCAGTAAGCAACTCATTTGAAATTTGCTGCCATTTTTGTGCTCATCCGTGGGAAGTAGAGTGAACTGAGCTGAGAACCATTTGGGAACCGATGGTCTACTGTAAACCATCGTAAAAACACATTGGTCAACTCGAGAGCTGTGTTGGTTGAAAATGTAAATTTACCCAAGTATTTGTCTCTGTTAGTCTATATACAGTACAGTATATCTGTCTATCTATCTATCGATCTGTCTATCTATCTATCTATCTATCTGTCTATGTATCTATATCTGTCAGTACTGTATCTATTTTAATATTTTCATCTCTGTGTCTGTCTACCTGTCTAAACTACTGTATTAATGTACCACTAATTTAGCTGGGAATGTTAAGGCACAAATGACAGAGTTTGTCAAGCATGGAAGGTTGTCAGTCCCAATAAAGTTCACATAAACCAAACTTGTATAAAACAAACAACTTCTGTACTGAAGGACTATTAATTTATGGACATATTGTTATCATAAACTGCTGTGTATATTAAATGTTTTATGTTTGTTTGTTACAGATGAGTAACGACTAAACCCTTGAGAAATTAACAAATGGATCATGGAGACACTGCTGCTACAGGTATGTCTTTATGTCTGTCTATATCTCAAATTTTCTGGGTATTTCTAACTGTCTGTCTTTATTTATCTGTATCTATATCTTTCTATCAATACCTGTATGTCAGTCAGTCTGTCTGTTTGGAATCTATAGCAACTGTCAGACTGTCTTTATGCAAGTATCTGTGGAAGGTGGGTACAAAGGAGGTACAGTGAGTGAGGATGGTGGGTACACAAGAGGTACAGTGTAGTGGATGGTGGGTACACAAGAGGTACAGTGTGGTGGATGGTGGGTACACAAGAGGTACAGTGGAGTGGATGGTGGGTACACAAGAGGTACAGTGAGTGAGGATGGTGGGTACACAAGAGGTACAGTGAGTGAGGATGGTGGGTACACAAGAGGTACAGTGAGTGAGGATGGTGGGTACACAAGAGGTACAGTGGAGTGGATAGCAGACTGCAGGATGTTGCTGACTGTAAGTGATGTGTATGTGCAGGTAAATATGTTTCCACAGCAAGACTGAAGAAACTCAACACTGAAGATTATCCCTGGACTGTGTGGATGAGTTTCATGATCAATGCTGGAGGGGGTGCTGAAGGCTGCTGTGTTGTGAGTCATGGATGAGTTCTGCTTCCTGGGTGACCTGATCAGTGCTGGATGGGGTGCTGTTTATTTTCAAGGGTCATAAATAGCTGGAGGAAGTTTAGAGAACTGTTGTCTTTATTGTCAGCACGAGGACTTTCCCATCACATGAAAGGAAGAATGTGTACAGCTGGTGTGAGAAGTGTGTGTTATATATCCGTGAAAACATGGGCAGTTAAAGAGGGTGACATATGCAGTCTTGAGTGAGCTGAAATGAGAATGGTGAGGTTGGATGTGTACTGTGACGCTGAAAGATAAGAATCCCCGTTCAGAGCTAAGACGAAAGCTGAGATCGTGCATGGATGAGACCAGCTGGGTGAAGTGGTGCATGAGTCTAAATGTGGTGAGGAGGAGAGCCAATGGTAGGTAGGCCAAGAATGACATGGGGAGAGATTGTAAAAAATGATCTTAGAGTTAAGAACCTGACAAAGAACCTGACAAGACAGACTACAAAAAATGGTGCTGCATGGAGAGTTACTGCAGCTAACCTGCAAGGGCGTGGTAAATGGCTGTATGATTTTGATGTGGATGATGATGATTTTGATCTATCTTTCAGTCTATCTATCTATCTATACTAATGTACTGTATTTCTCACCATAAACTAAACTAAACTTGCATAAAAGGAACAAATATTTAAATGAGAAGAATTGCAGTGTGTTTCATAACCTGTACAGTATAGTTGACCCTCGCCAAATGAGGATTTCCCATCCACGGGTTCTGGATATTCACGGTTTTTACTCTGCCAACCATTTCACACAACCACGGCATATAACAGTAAAAAAGAATGAATAAAATTACATATAGTATCTACCTTAAAATACACGTTGTAAAATAGAAAAAACACAGCTTGGAGACATTTGTTTAGTTAAAAATATGTCTTATATGGTGGAAAAAATGGTATATCTCTCAGTCTCTCTCTCTCTTTCTCTCTACATCTTTCTCTCCATCTGTCTACAGTATATCTGTCTTATATGTACTGTAGACAGAACTACTGTACTAACCATGATAGACAGTTGACAATGCGTGTGATTAATACCTGGAATACAAATATTTCCAGGAAATTGTCCAATATATTCAGGAACTAGACCACTTTAGTGATATAGAAGAACCAAGAAAATATTGTTTATTGTTTTGTTTTATACCAAAACACTGGTGATTGTCTCTCAGATATCAGGACACAGTGATGCACCACTATATCTTCTCTAGTGGTGCATTACTGTGTCCAGGGTTCATACCCCAGTCTTGGACAGATGTGAGAAGGATGTTACCCTCACTACCAAACATGACAGGTTTTCTCCAGGTACAATACTGCAGTTTCCTCCCATACTGTACAGTATTAACACTGGACAATGAAGGACATAACAAAGAACAGACCAACTGCCCAAACGGCTCATTACTGGTAGTTACGATGTCGCTATGTTAACTTATACAAAGGTGAATCATAATTTAATGTTTACTCGGCCATAGTGAGCTTCAACATTCATGCCAGTACAGTAATGTACTGATGAATGAGTCTTGATCACACACAACTATAAGGCGGCCTTCTCTTGCCACTCCATCATCCCTCTGGCCTTTATTGTGGATCTCTGAGGTGACAGTCATGACCAGTGATAAATATTTTGGTGTTAAGTCGGTGGTGTGGTACTGTGCAGGTCTGACCCACCTGTTACAAACTACTGCAGGGAGTGAAGACCTTCCTTAAAAGGTTTAACTTGGCAGTATGCAGAAGGTCACAGCTCTGTATCAGCTGACAACACAGACGTCCTCAATGGCACTTGATGGTCTATAACAAGGCCATTTTTGTTATTACTGACTTTTGTCCTTGATGTGGTTCACCCATTATCAGATGCAGGTCAAGAACATTAAGGACTGTCCCTCTGTAATCATCACTGAGTACATGAGGATGGATTACATTCTTAACTCTCAAATGGCAGCCGTCACCTGCAGAAGTTAACTGTAGGGATGGTAGTCATCATCAGTAGAAGTTTCATGTTCCATTTTTACACATATGGGGAGGGATGATCATTAACTAAGTGATAAAGAAGGTACCTGTAGGTTCCTTATTTGTCCTGGCATCACATGACCCAACTGTACCCAGACTGTGGCCTCACACAAGTGCTCTACTGTTTGTCTCTAAATCCAAGGTTATATATAGAAGTTAACCTGAGTTCTGACACAAATTGTTCTGTTCTGTTTGTAAAGATTTATGTCTTATATAATACAACATCACTTACTGTGGCCACTATTGTTGTACTGTACATCACTTTTTGTATACCTGTACAGTATTGTCCATATACCTGTACCTGCATTGTCTATATACATACTGGACTGTATACTGTACCTCATTGTCTATATACATGCTGGACTGGACTGTATACTGTACCTCATTGTCTATGTATGTGGTAAGTATTGTTTACACACACATAATTATTAATTAATTTGTTAAAGTAAAATGGAGGCTGACCTCCTCCTCCACCCTGTCCCACAATTCACTTTTCTCCTATCAGTACTTGGCCTATTGGTTCCAGTGCTTGGCTTTGAGCATAAATTCCATAAATCAATCAATTAATTAATCCTAGCAGTACATGTACTCTCAGATACTGTACTCAGCTTATTGTAGGAAGGATTTTTGAGTTTTTAATGAAGGTTTATGAAGACTTCAACCAACTGTTCCTTGAGGTACTGTGCTGTACTGTAGATGGAACATATCAGTAAAACAGAATATCTTGAACCTTGTCAGAAGTGTTCTTCCTCTGGGTGTGTTAACAGCTCTGGCTGTGTTCCACGCCACAGGTCTACCTCTCAACACCAGGAACCAATCATGCCTGACATGACTAACTTATTACAGTAGTTTAAGTTATACTGTATACTGTACTGTACTCTTTATAACTCAGTGTTACTTCTTTAGTGTTAAAATACAATGGTAATCAATTACTAGTTTATTCATATAAACTAATTTACCAGATTTAAAGTAAATGCCAAGAATAGCCTACTGGTCTCAACCTGATGAACCATCTAGTGACCTCTTACGTTCATCAGACTAATTATTTATAATAGTAATAAACCATCGCCACTATTTATATTTTTATACATGTGAGTCGTGGATTATACAAATTACTGTAAGAAAACCAAGATTTGCCCCTGACAACAAGAATATTTCACATAAAATTCACACAAAACCACTACCCAAATATCCATAGGTGCTTCAAGGCTCCACGGGGCAAGTTGTTACCAGGTTTTATTTACAATTCGCAATTATTACATGGAATTATACAATTTACACAATACTGTATATACTGAACTGTATACCTACATGTCTATATACATGCTGAACTGTATACTTGCATTGTCTACTGTATATACATGCTGAACTGTATAGTGTATACCTTATGACCTGTGGCGTAATGGTTAGCATCCTCGCCTCGCAAGCGAGCGGACCCGAGTTCGATCCTCGGGCAGGGTGAAACTATGGGCAAGTTTCTTTATGCCATTTGCCTCTGTCTACCCAGCAGTGATGGTAATGGTTAGCCAGTGCAGTTGGCGAGTTGTCCAGTCTTCTCGGACTACTGTATTCCTTGACACTGGGTCATGCAGCTTGTTAACTTGGGGTGTGGTTGTTGTTGGCGACAGCTTCTACACCTTAACAAATTCACGCCTAGGAGGCCCTTGGGCCGGCCATCCTTTATTTCGAGGGGATTCCATTATTTATTTATACCTGTACCTGCATTGTCTATATACAGTACATGCTGAACTGTATACCTGCATTGTCTATATGCTTAACTGTATTGTATACCTGTATTGTCTATATGGTGAATGTATACAATACCTGCATTGACTATACGCAGATTGAGCCAATTGTAAACTTATATGATAAGTTTACGGAATAAATATATATCTATCTATCTAAAGTGGTCTAGTGCATGGAAATAGTTTGAGCTTTTCCCTGATAATTTTGGTTCATCACAGGTGTTACTCTGTTGCAGTGTGAGCCAGTGTGAGGTGGAGGTCAATATTAAACTGAGATGTTTAGTTGCAGCTCTAGAAGATTGACAATTTGTCTTCTTTTAATTATAAACCAGAACACTTATTTCTCACTTTTTATCCATGTATAATTTGGCTAAATTTAGCTTCTAAATTTACTTGGACTTAGAATGCCATCACACTGTGATTTGATATTAAAGAAAAAAGTATATTCTTTTGTGTTTTCAGGAACTTTAGAATTAATATGATTTAGTGAGGCTGTTGAACTATTCCGGCACTTTACTAAACCGTAAATATATTTTATTGTTCGTTAAGGAATTCAATCTCAATAGTTCGGTGTCATTTAATGTTGCTCTAAAATCTGTTGACTGACATGCGGCAATTATTCTGTTATAGTCATGCCAGTTAATGTTGTTTTAGGAGATACAGTTTATTGTGTAGTGATCTCCGTTAAAACAAACCATTTTTATTTTCCAAATTTGTCGCGCTGGGTTATGAAGGTGTGCATGGTGGGAAAGGCTTTGGAATAAGGAATATTGAAGGTGAAGAATACTTGAGTTTGGGGATGGCATGAAACAGGTGTTTAAGAAAAGTGCAAGTAGGCTGACCGTGTAGGCCTAAGTCAGGTGGCACAGAAACCCAGATTGGCTACATTTTTGTCAGGCAGTTAGAACAGGTTGCTTGTGAGTGTGTGTGTGTGTGTGACATGTTACTTAAAGATGGAGGAAGAGGAAGAAGGTGGATTTTCCAAGAAGGAGAGTGTGGGAATTGTGAAGGAACTGAGTGGAAAGGAAGCTTTTTTTTCTGAGTTGAGAAGCTGGGAAACAGCCAGTGACAGATTGAAGGGCAGTGTACCACGATGCTGGGCCATAATAAAAGATGTTGTGTTGAGTGTGGTTGATAAGATTTGTGGCAGGAATGATGAAGTGGAGAGAGAGATAAAAAGAGGAAAGGAGATTGTGTGAGACGTGGAAGATGGTTGGCAACAGAGAGAAGTACAGCACCTGGAGGCTAAACTGAGGTGGTTCAGGAGAGAAAGGAGGAAACTAACTGTGTTAAGAGATACATGAATGAAAGTGGAGGGGAGGGGAGTTAGAAGTAGGCAAAGAATGACATGAGGAGAGGTTGTTAAGAAATGTCGGTGCTACTTTAGTAACTGAGAATGTTCGTTGGTTGGAATGATGAGGAACAAACTGAACAGAAATAAATGAATAATTGAACACAAAAAATTTAGGAATTGTCGAATAATATCAAAATATTCGGAACTCAGTTAATTCGTATTTTCAGTAATTCGAGTGACCCAGAGTCTCTTTTTGTCGAGTCACTGAAGGTATAGTGCAGTTTGTGGTCCACAGAATTACTGAAAATACAAATTCACGGAGTTCCGATTATTTTGATATTAATCGACAATTTCTCATTTTTTTGTGTTCAATTATTCATTCATTTTCTGTTCACTTTGTTCACATTGTTCCTCATTATTCCAACCAACAAAAATACTCGGTTACCAAGCCTTGACTGCCACATAAAGAACTCTTTATAATTACTGTGGAAGCAAATATTTTTTAAGTGTACAAACAGTAATAATAAAGTAAATAATACAATAATAAATAAATGTAAGACTTACTGTACATTGTGAGGTGAACTAATAATATATAGATGATATTCAGAAAGTGTAATAGTATTGAGGATCAGTTCTGGGGTCCACTGCTGTCATCAAGAAGATTAATCCCCAACCTACCTAACTCAGGAGACTGGTTCCTTTGTTCTTTGTTTTTCTCCCTTGTTTTGTTGTTTTAGTTGGCTGAAGAGGGTCTTAGTACACCAGCTCTAAAGTTTGGTCTTTTATTTCTCCAATGAGGGTTTTTATTTCATTTACCAGTGTGGCCATGACACCTTCGGAGTATCATCTACATTTTACGATCTCACATTATTTATTTATTACGGTATTATTTACTTTATTATTGTAAGACATTATTTATTTATTACGGTATTGTTTATTAATTATTATAAGTGTATTTTATGAATACTTATAATTTGTACAATAATTATAAATAGAATATTGTATGTGGCAGCCAAGGCAACTTTCGAACCACTCAGTTATTTCAGATTGGATTCATTCCAAATTCAAATCATTTAATTAATTTTTTGAAAACATACGAATTAAGCTAAAGTCCGAATTACAACTATCTGATTTAACGAGGGTATAGTGTAAATACCCCAGTAGACTGCATATTATGGTAGCACCGAAATCTCAGAATTATTTTGATGTATTAAATCTGATTATGCCAAATATTTTTGTATTTATCTAGATGTGCTTAACAGTAATATTTATAAGTCCAAAAATTCATTGTTTAAATATTCTAAGTCCAAAAATTCATCTTTAGAAATATTCTAAGTACAACAATTCATTGTTAGAAATATTCTAAGTCCAAAAATTCATCGTTAGAAATATTCTAAATCCAAAAATTCATCATTAAAAATATTCTAAGTCCAAAATTCATTGTTAGAAATATTCTAAGTCCAAAAATTCGTCATTCAAAATATTCCAAGTCCAAAAATGACCAAAATTTTACCTGCGCAAAATTTGAGTAATAAGAAATTGTCTGGTTTTAGGGATAAAAAAATTTGTGCCATTCTTAAGAGCTCCAGCTTGGTATCTCCGTGTTTATGTTTATTATGAGGCATAACGGAATACCTGGACGTGGGGAGAGTAACTCAGTGGGCGCCTACTGAGTATTCTCCCCACGTCCAGGTAGTCCGTTATGCTTGTATTTTTTTATATTATTGGTGAACGATGATTTGAAGAGGCTTTCCTCCGGAGACTCTTCCGATTATCCTTTACCAAATTTTTTCAATGTTAGTCCTGGCAATGGCAAACTCAAAAAACACTTAAGGGTAAAAAAAGGGCATTTTTTGGGCCATTTTTCGCTCAAAATTGGCCATTTTTTCATAAAAATTGGTATTTTTTTCATATTTTAGCCATTTTTTTCATATTTTTAGCTATTTTTTTGCATATTTCCAGTTATTTTTTCTTATTTATAGCTATTTTTTTATATTTAAAGCTTTTTTTTTTTATAATTTTTTTTTATTTTATATATATATTTTATATTTGTATTATATTTATTTTATTTGTATATTATATTTGTATATTATATTTATTATATTTATTACATTTGTATTATATTTATATATTTTATTTGTATTATGTTTGTATATTATATTTGTACCCTGTATTTCATTTGTTTATTATATTTGTATATATAATTTTTCAGATGCTTTATGAAAGTATTTTGCTTCAAAATGTGAAGCTGAACTTTTCTGTAAAAGTAGTACTGAAAGGGTTAATGAATACTGGTATTGACATTTAGACATTTATTAATGGAAACTTAATGGCATTATAAATTTTTCTTCAGCAGAGCAGTAAAGGGCAGCAGTGGCTAGCCCAGGGTAGCAACAGCAGTGGCCAGCCCAGGACAGGACAGTGTCCAAGGTTGCAGTTCAGGATGACAGCAGCAGTGGCCAGCCTAGGACAGGACAGTGTCCAGGGTGGCAGCAGCAGCAGCAGGCAGTCCAGGACAGCAGCAGTGTCCAGGGTAGCAGCAGCAGCAGGAAGTGGCCAGCCTAGGACAGGACAGTGTCCAGGGTGGCGGCAGCAGCAGCAGGCAGTCCAGGACAGCAGCAGTGGCCAGCCTAGGACAGGACAGTGTCCAGGGTGGCAGCAGCAGCAGCAGGCAGTCCAGGGCAGCAGCAGCAGGAAGTGGCCAGCCTAGGACAGGACAGTGTCCAGGGTGGCAGCAGCAGCAGGCAGTCCAGGACAGCAGGAAGTGGCCAGCCTAGGACAGGACAGTGTCCAGGGTGGCAGCAGCAGGAAGTGGACAGCCTAGGATAGGACAGTGTCCAGAGCCGCAGCAGCAGGCTCCCCCGGGCGGCGGTCTCCCCAGGGCTCCCCCGGGCGGCGGGCTCCCCCGGGCGGCGGGCGGCAGGCTCCCCCTGGCGGCGGGCTCCCCCTGGCAGCAGCAGCAGGCTCTCCAGGGCGGCAGCAGCAGCAGGCTCTCCAGGGCGGCAGCAGCAAGTCCAGCTTAGTGGTAACCACCCACCACAAAGTCCTGAATAATATTTCTGTACAAAATAAAAAGTAAAATTAATAAAAACATTTATTTAACCAGAAAATTATTTTTAATATAATGACAATGTGCTGTAGTCTAGACAATTTAACACTTAACAAGGACCAATGTACAAATTACTTAATATAAAAATATAAATTTGGTAATTGAAATGGTTCACCTTATGATCCTTGATATACTGCCAAGTGTTCAGGGAATATTATCAGTAACAGTACAGCAACTTAACCTAACCATGTATATTGTACCTGTTTAGTTTAACCACAAGAGTTATCGAGTCATAACTACAATAAACCTGCATCTTTGGTTCATAGTTTAGTTAATATATTTAAAATGTCTTTCAATGACTGCTTTAGGAATTATTGATTTGTGAACATTTAATTTTAACTAAATTTACATCAATGAATAACTTGGGCACAGTACAGAACAGTAAATTATTATTTCTAAAGTATACAAAATGTAGGTAACTTTACATCTACATTTAGGAATTATTTCTCCAAGTTCAGCATTGAGCAAAAGTTAATTTACTTAGTTTACATTTTATGTATTAAATTATTGTTTTTTAAAGTTGTAAGAAGTTAAGAGTAAAGTCACATGTTATTACCTATAAAAGGTTTGAAGCAAGATATTTTAATACTAATTTATCCTAATACAGTATTATAACATGACCCTAAACTGAAGGTTTTATCTTCTATAGAGTGCCACATTAATCCACTTAATCTAGTACAGTAATTGAAGAACATTAGTGATGCACCATTAATAACATGACTAGTCAAAATTTTCTCAATAATCTGCCGCCAGATTCAAAACACAGATTTAGAGTTAATGCTATAATTTAAGTCAATTTTATCATGCAGGTATAACAATTAAGTCACTATATAGTGTCACCACCAAAGCCAGACTATGAACAAAGCAAAATATCAGCCAAATAACAGGATTTAAATAAAACAAATTACTCTGGTGGTAGAGAACCAGTCCACAAATGCATCAACTTTAGAAATAGTCTGACGGAATTCTAAGCTGCAATGTTAAGAGCAGCTGGGTTTTAAATTTTATCATTGCCGCATTTAAGTCTACCCGGCACAACACGCAGTAATTATTAACATAACTCACTAATCAAGTGGTCAACTATTTATAGACAGTTTAAAGGCTGTTGGAAGCTGCAACCATCCAGGAGGAATACCGTCCACATTAATTATTAACTGTACGGAATAATAAAAAGTAAGGACTAATGTTATAACTCAAATAGAGACGTGATAATGTTAAAACCTTATTTTGTGAACATTTAAACTTTATTGCTCATTCTCTAATAAAATTAATCTTTAAAGGGAGTTGTTTATCATTGATTAATTTTGTTATCAAGAACTCCTCTCCAGCCTAAACGACCGACTGAAAGTCTTTCATTATAGGTTAATACTGTACCGGGTCGTTCTTCATTCTAATTTGAATAATATTGGTAAATAAAATATCTAATGTACTTTAACAGTGCTACAATATATAAAATAATCTTTCTCGTCAGCAACAGTCTCTACCAGATTATTTTTCTCTCAATAAATAAAAGCTACTTAGTCTGGCCTGATAATATATTCATTACCGTATAATGAACTGCTGTGGAACTGCACAGAGGACACTGCCATCACAACTACAAGACAATGATCGGCGGCCGAGTGGCATGACTAATAAGTGAACAGACTATAACTGGTTTCCGTAATTACTGTATTTTGCCGGTAATAATTTTACGGAGTAATTTCTTCACCCAACACAGACGGCAAAATGGCATCAGCTAATACTTTGTTTACCGATACTGATTATTCCACAAAATATTGATATTATCTTTTACTTATATTAATTGGTGCATCCCTAATATTGTACTGTACTAATACTTTATTGATATATATACTGAAGAGTTGACTAGACACGGCAGTTCACGAGTTACTATTACTGTACTGTACTTTGTCGAGAGTTTAGTGAAGAAACCACAATGAGTTACCCTGGACTGGTGCAGTGTGGTGCAGGGCAGCGCAGCAAGAGGCCGTTCACCAGAAATCTCTCGGGTCATTTGTTGGATCCTCCATCTTTAAGTCGTCATCCTGGAATGAATAACAAACAACTCTGCACAAATTAAATAGTTTACCTACAGGCATCCCCCAATACAGAGCACATGTGTCTGATAGTTTCAACAATATGTCTACACTACACAGAAGCAAACAATGAATAAATCCCACTTTGATGCCACTTATCTGTATATGAAAGTAAAGATTCTCTCACAGGAACAGAATCCCAATATTTAAATTACTTCCACCTAATGAACACATTACCAGGAATAAAACTGCCGTATATTAAGGGACAGCTGTCAACTAGTTTACTGAATAAATGAAGCATTTCAGCACAACTTAAGTGGAGAACAATGCACAGTTACACAACCTTATTTTTACCACAGCTCTTCAACTATTGGTGATATCATTGACAAACTTGAATACAGTATTACAAGTATTACATAAGCTTGGATATAGTGTACAGTATTACAAGTATTCTTTAGTCATCCACTGATTATACTGGTTAACTGCCCCCACAATGTTTTATAGTACTGTCCTTGATTATTGATGAACATTATGCAAGGTATCTGTTAGATAAAGAAAATGTTTATTACATTCAAGAGCTGTTGGTAAGAGGAAGGCAAAGTAACATTTAACATTTTCTCAATTTCTTGTAAGAATGCAGCAACATTAATAAACAAAATAGCAACAAATTAATCAAAATTACGCTAAAATTTAAAGAAACTAACATTTACAATTACGAGTTATTCACCCAATGACTGTCTACAAACATTAACAGGCCGTCAACCCAGAACATTAATTTACAATTCTTTACAACTACATGAAGGGTCCTTGTAAAGTTTAATAAAGATCATTAAAAAAATTCCACCATTTATAACTTAAGTAATCCACAACCTTCACCAGGTATAAGATTTATATAGAATACAAGTGTAGTTACCTGTACTGGGAACAACGTATTGGATAAATTGAGAACTATAGATGCAGGCAAGTTAATAATGCCAAGGTTGATGCCAGTTATTTGGCTAACTTAAGAATGATCCTGTTACTGTACAGGACCTTAGAGCCAGCCAGGTGAAGGTACTTGTTGGGGGAAGAAGAATTTGGATATAAATGGTGGAAAATTAAACTAAAGGCAAGAGACTTACTCCTTGTTGGATGTATTTATAGATCACAGAACTGAAGTTTATTAAGCCAAGCCAGTTTAAAGGCATTAATACTGTACACAGCATTATGGGCTACTGGTGACTGACTGACTGACTGACTGACTGGAGGAATGAAATTACACTTGAGAAACAGGAATGCAGACACTATGCTGAATATCACAGCCAGTAAACCGTTTGATAAAATATACTGTACTGTATACTCCAGACCAAACACACTGTCTCAAGGAATACAAGTCCATTCAGACTGTAGAAACACTGAGCAAGACAGCCAGTCCGATTCCAAATGAAGTCAAGTCAAAGCCCCAAAAGCTTTCAACGTGTGGGCACATCAGACCCCAGACTAAGATAATGTTACACACTCGGAACAGGGCAAGACGAGAGGAGTTAAATAGTGTTCACAAGAGGATGTAAACCTCCCATGTGTTTGAGGAGTAACAACACTGACATGTTCTCAGTCAAGTATTAAAACAAATTATCAAAACTAAAGTTGGTAACATGGCAGTTTCGGCCAATATGCCCCGGTAGTTTATCCTGTGTATTTTAGTGTGAATTTAATTTGACCTTTAATTCCGGGGGAAAGTAACAATCTGTTCTCCCCCAAAAGTATGGAAAAACTTGCAAGATTCATTTCTGCCATTATTCTTGGTTGAGATGGTGTTAAAAATACTCCCAATAAGGAGATGTAACGGTTGGGAAGGTTAAAACAGCCCGCCGTGTATTGGTCCAAATTGCATTTATACCATAAAGGTACATAGAGCCCTGATGGGGAGCTTCACGGGTTGTATAATGACCTTCCTGACCTCGTTAAATCTTGTAGTACAGAAGCATAACAAGCAAAACGTTCCCCAAAGACTGGAAAATGACATACCCAAGTCCTATATTGAAACAGATGACTTATGAATAATAACAGTATTGCGAGTGATTGGCATATTGTGTAAAGTAAAGCCAATTAGTTCATGCCATTGTCCAGCTTATAGACAAGCGAGGTGTGACTTAATACAGGATTATAAACATGTAATAGGTCATTACTTAGCCTGGTGTTCACAACTAGCAGACGCCCACCCCACTTGAAGTCAAGTCCAGTACTTGCTAACCGTGAGTACATGCCCAGTACTTTCCACAGTAACAGGAGAGCTAGTACATGCCCAGTACTTGCCAACTGTAACAGCCAGTTCGTGCCCAGTGCTTGCCAAAAGTGTAACAAAGCCAGTACATGCCCAGTACTTGCCAACTGTAACCGCCAGTTCAAGCCCAGTACTTGCCAAAAGTAACAGTATCAGTACTTGCCCAGTACACTTGCCAACGTCTAGATGCGTTCGACCGCCTCTAGACCCCAGTGGCAAAGTTTAAAGTGAAGTAGAGTTAACATAACACGTCAGAACAAACTTTCTAACCTCAGCCAATAAGGTGACCCACGCTGACGACCAGAGGCAGCGAACTGGTCTTCAGCAGGGCAGCTACACAACCAATTGGATCCATCATCTGTAAAGAAATAAAGAAGCTTAGGAGTAACAATTAAATATTAAAATCTTTACGGTGACCAAAACTAAACCATATTTAGTTAATTTAAATAAATGTACAAGCCAAAAATAGTAAAGTATTCTCTAGAGTAACTAGTCAATGTGATAGTTAACGACCATTAACCTATGCTTACTCATTGTGTATCTACAATATTATTTAAGTCTGTTTAAATTATTTCCTTTTAAATAAATCACTTGGTACAAAATCGAATAATAAATTTAACCACTGAAATAAATTTAAAATAAAACATACCATACCTTTAAAGAACAGCGTCTGTCAAGTGAGAGAGACGACCGGCAGCACTTCCCCCCTCTGTGTCTCCATGAGCACTGCTCCCCACCGGCCAATCGCTGCTCTGTGTAACCTCTTCCCGCCTAAGCCTTGTCCGAATGAGGAATCCTAACAAAATATATACAACCTCAATCGTACATACAAATTTTAATACAAGTTTTAAGGTATATTTTGGTGTAAATTAATTTATATCGTAATATAGAAGAAAAAAGAATCAGGAAAACTTTACGGAAAAATAAATACAAAGATAAATCCAATAATATAATCCAAATTCCTAAGTTTCGGAGACAGTCATTTGTTGACCATTCAGGGTTGCCAACATTACCGAGTTACTCAACTATATCGTCCCTTAATGGGTGGTTATCGCTGATTGGTAATAGATAGATAGATAGATAGATAGATAGAAAGATAGATAGATAGATAGATAGAAAGATAGATACACAGGCCGGTCAGTGGCGAAGAAGATAAACAAAAGTAATTTCAATATTATACAATAAAAAAGTAAAACAGTTACCCATAAAAGATTCGTTTTCTCTTATGACGTCATTAAACAACACGGACGTAAATATAGTTATTAGAATGAGATTAAAACTATTACTATAGTATTAATTAAAATAATAACAATAACAATAATTAAACTATGGCGGGAAAGATTATAGAAATGCCATAGAAGTGTGTCCCAGAGAGTGCCATAGTGTTCCTGCATGTCCCAGGGAGTGCCATAGTGTTCCTGCATGTCCCAGGGAGTGCCATAGTGTTCCTGCATGTCCCAGGGAGTGCCATAGTGTTCCTGCATGTCCCAGGGAGTGCCATAGTGTTCCTGCATGTCCCAGGAGTGCCATAGTGTCCCTGCATGTCCCAGGGAGTGCCATAGTGTTCCTGCATGTCCCAGGAGTGCCATAGTGTTCTGCATGTCCCAGGAGTGCCATAGTGTTCTGCATGTCCCAGGGAGTGCCATAGTGTTCCTGCATGTCCCAGGACATGTGTTCTGCATGTCCCAGGAGTGCCATAGTGTTCCTGCATGTCCCAGGGAGTGCCACCTCATGTCCCAGGAGTGCCATAGTGTTCCTGCATGTCCCAGGAGGCCATAGTGTTCCTGCATGTCCCAGGGAGTGCCATAGTGTTCCTGCATGTCCCAGGGAGTGCCATAGTGTTCCTGCATGTCCAGGAGCCATAGTGTTCTGCATGTCCCAGGGAGTGCCATAGTGTTCCTGCATGTCCCAGGAGTGCCATAGTGTTCCTGCATGTCCCAGGGAGTGCCATAGTGTTCCTGCATGTCCCAAGGAGTGCCATAGTGTTCCTGCATGTCCCAGGAGTGCCATAGTGTTCCTGCATGTCCCAGGAGCCATAGTGTTCCTGCATGTCCCAGGAGTGCCATAGTGTTCCTGCATGTCCCAGGGAGTGTTCCTGCATGTCCCAAGGAGTGCCATAGTGTTCCTGCATGTCCCAGGGAGTGCCATAGTGTTCCTGCATGTCCCAGGGAGTGCCATATGTTCCTGCATGTCCCAGGAGTGCCATAGTGTTCCTGCATGTCCCAGGGAGTGCCATAGTGTTCCTGCATGTCCCAAGGAGTGCCATAGTGTTCCTGCATGTCCCAGGGAGTGCCATAGTGTTCCTGCATGTCCCAGGAGTGCCATAGTGTTCCTGCATGTCCCAGGAGTGCCATAGTGTTCCTGCATGTCCCAAGGAGTGCCATAGTGTCTGCATCCGGGGAGGCCATAGTGCCCCATGTCCCAGGAGTGCCATATGTTCCTGCATGTCCCAAGGAGTGCCATAGTGTTCCTGCATGTCCCAGGAGTGCCATAGTGTTCCTGCATGTCCCAGGAGTGCCATAGTGTTCCAGCATGTCCCAGGAGTGCCATAGTGTTCCTGCATGTCCCAGGAGTGCCATAGTGTTCCTGCATGTCCCAAGGAGTGCCATAGTGTTCTGCATGTCCCAGGAGTGCCACAGTGTTCCTGCATGTCCCAGGAGTGCCATAGTGTTCCTGCATGTCCCAGGAGTGCCAGTGTTCCTGCATGTCCCAGGAGTGCCATAGTGTTCCTGCATGTCCCAGGAGTGCCATATGTTCCTGCATGTCCCAAGGAGTGCCATAGTGTTCCTGCATGTCCCAGGGAGTGCCATAGTGTTCCTGCATGTCCCAGGGAGTGCCATAGTGTTCCTGCATGTCCCAAGGAGTGCCATAGTGTTCCTGCATGTCCCAAGGAGTGCCATAGTGTTCCTGCATGTCCCAGGAGTGCCATAGTGTTCCTGCATGTCCCAGGGAGTGCCATAGTGTTCCTGCATGTCCCAAGGAGTGCCATAGTGTTCCGCATGTCCCAGGAGTGCCATATGTTCCTGATGTCCCAGGGAGTGCCATAGTGTTCCTGCATGTCCCAGGAGTGCCATAGTGTTCCTGCATGTCCCCAAGGAGTGCCATAGTGTTCCCTGCATGTCCCAGGAGTGCCATAGTGTTCCTGCATGTCCCAAGGAGTGCCATAGTGTTCCTGCATGTCCCAGGAGTGCCATAGTGTTCCTGCATGTCCCAGGGAGTGCCATAGTGTTCTGCATGTCCCGGAGTGCCACAGTGTTCCTGCATGTCCCAGGAGTGCCACAGTGTTCCAGCATGTCCCAGAGTGCCACAGTGTTCCAGCGTGACCCAGGGAGTGCCAGTGTTCCAGAATGTCCCAGAGAGTGCCAGAGTGTTCCAGCGTGACCCAGGGAGTGCCAGTGTTCCAGAATGTCCCAGAGAGTGCCACAGTGTTCCAACATGTCCCAGGAGTGCCAGAATGTTCCAGCGTGATCCAGGATGTCCAGCATATCTCAAGGAGTGCCATAGTATTCCAGCATGTCCCAGAGAGTGCCACAGTCTTCCAGCATGTCCCAAGGAGTGCCAGAGTGTTCCAGCGTGACCCAGGAGTGCCAGTGTTCCAGCATATCTCAAGGAGTGCCAGAGTGTTCCAGTGTAACCCAGGAGTGCTGTGTTCCAGCGTGACCCAGGAGTGCCACAGTGTTCCATAATGTCCTAGGAGTGCCACAGTGTTCCAGCATGTCCTGGGAGTGCCAGGTGTTCCAGCGTGACCCAGGAGTGCCACAGTGTTCCATAATGTCCTAGGAGTGCCACAGTGTTCCAGCATGTCCCAAGGAGTGCCAGAGTGTTCCAGCGTGACCCAGGAGTGCCAGTGTGTTCCAGCGTGACCCAGGAGTGCCACAGTGTTCCATAATGTCCTAGGGAGTGCCACAGTGTTCCAGCATGTCCCAGGGAGTGCAGTGTTCCAGCATGTCCCAGGGAGTGCCAGTGTGTTCCAGCGTGACCCAGGAGTGCCACAGTGTTCCATAATGTCCCAGGGAGTGCCACAGTGTTCCAGCATGTCCCAGAGTGCCAGAGTGTCCAGCGTGACCCAGGGAGTGCCAGTGTTCCAGCATGTCTCAAGGAGTGCCACAGTGTTCCAGCCGAACTCAGGGAGTGCCACAGTGTTCAGCATGTCCCAGGAGTGCCAGGTTCCAGCATGTCCCAAGGAGTGCCAGAGTGTTCCAGTGTGACCCAGGGAGTGCCACAGTGTTCCAGCATATCTCGGAGTGCCACAGTGTTCCAGTGTGTCCCAGCGATTGCCACAGTGTTCCAGTGTGGCCCAGAGAGTGCCAGAGAGTTCCAGCATGTCCCAGGAGTGGTTAAACCCTCATATAGGCCTTACACTCAACCCTTAAAGGACTAATAGACCTCGGATGCAAAACATCTGGCCTAAACCACACTTAACCCTTGACATAGGCCTCAAACACTTAACCCCTGACATAGGCCTCAAACACTTAACCCCTGACATAGGCCTCAAACAAACCCCTGACATAGGCCCAAACACCCGACATGGCCTCAAACATAACCTGACACCCACCAACCCACAACCCACAGCCTCAAACACTTAACCCTGACATAGGCCTCAAACACTAACCCCTGACATAGGCCTCAACACTTAACCCCTGACATGGCCCAAACACTTAACCCTTGACATAGGCCTCAAACACTTAACCCCTGACATAGCCTCAAACACTTAACCCTGACATAGGCCTCAAACACTTAACCCCTGACATAGGCCTCAAACACTTAACCCTGACATAGGCCTCAAACACTTAACCCCTGACATAGGCCCCAAACACTTAACCCTGACATAGGCCTCAAACACTTAACCCCTGACATAGGCCTCAAACACTTAACCCCGACATAGGCTCAAACACTTAACCCTTGACATAGGCCTCAAACACTTAACCCCTGACATAGGCCTCAAACACTTAACCCCTGACATAGGCCCCCAAACACTTAACCCCTGACATAGGCCCCAAACACTTAACCCCTGACATAGGCCTCAAACACTTAACCCCAAGCTCAAACACAACCAACCTACATAGGCCTCAAACACAACCGACATAGGCCTCAAACACTAACCCCTGACATGCCTCAAACACTTAACCCCTGACATAGGCCTCAAACACTTAACCCCTGACATAGGCCTCAAACACTTAACCCCTTGACATAGGCCTCAAACACTTAACCCCTGACATAGGCCTCAAACACTTAACCCCTGACATAGGCCTCAAACATTAACCCCTGACATAGGCCTCAAACACTTAACCCCTGACATAGGCCCCAAACACTTAACCCCTGACATAGGCCTCAAACACTTAACCCCCTGACATAGGCCTCAAACACTTAACCCCTGACATAGGCCTCAAACACTTAACCCCTGACATAGGCCTCAAACATTAACCCCCTGACATAGGCCTCAAACACTTAACCCCTGACATAGGCCTCAAACACTTAACCCCTGACATAGGCCTCAAACACTTAACCCTTGACATAGGCCTCAAACATAACCCCTGACATAGGCCTCAAACACTTCCACCCCAAACACTTAACCCCTGACATAGGCCTCAAACACTAACCCTGACATAGGCCCTCAAACACTTAACCCCTGACATAGGCCTCAAACACTTAACCCCTGACATAGGCCTCAAACACTAAACCCTGACATAGGCCTCAAACACTTAACCCCTGACATAGCCTCAAACACTTAACCCTGACAGGCTGACATAGGCCTCAAACACTTAACCCTTGACATAGGCCTCAAACACTAACCCCTGACATAGGCCTCAAACACTAACCCCTGACATAGGCCTCAAACCTAACCCTAACCCCTGACATAGGCCCATAACCCTGACAAGGCCCAAACCTTAAAACCCTGACATAGGCCTCAAACACTAACCCCTGACATAGGCCTCAAACACTTAACCCGACGGCCTCAAACACAACGACAATCAAGCCCAAAACTTAACCCCTGACATAGGCCTCAAACACTTAACCCTGACATAGGCCTCAAACACTTAACCCTGACATAGGCCTCAAAACAACCCCTGACATAGGCCTCAAACATAACCTGAGCCCAAACCTAACCCTGACATAGGAACCCTGACATAGGCCCAAACACTTAACCCCTGACATAGGCCTCAAACACTTAACCCTTGACATAGGCCTCAAACACTTAACCCCTGACATAGGCCTCAAAACATTAACCCTTGACATAGGCCTCAAACACTTAACCCTTGACAACTCAAAACTTAACCTGACATAGGCCTCAAACACTTAACCTTGACATAGGCCTCAAACACTTAACCCCTGACATAGGCCCAAACACTTAACCTGACAGGCCTCAAACACTTAACCCCTGACATAGGCCTCAAACACTTAACCCCTGACATAGGCCTCAAACACTTAACCCCTGACATAGGCCTCAAACACTTAACCCACATAGGCCCAAACAAACCCTGACATAGCCTCAAACACTTAACCCCCTGACATAGGCCTCAAACACTTAACCCCTGACATAGGCCTCAAACACTTAACCCCTGACATAGGCCTCAAACACTTAACCCTTGACATAGGCCTCAAAACTTAACCCTTGACATAGGCCTCAAACACTTAACCCTTGACATAGGCCTCAAACACTTAACCCTTGACATAGCCTCAAACACTTAACCCCTGACATAGGCCTCAAACACTTAACCCCTGACATAGGCCTCAAACACTTAACCCCTGACATAGGCCTCAAACACTTAACCCTGACATAGGCCTCAAACACTTAACCCCTGACATAGGCCCCAAACACTTAACCCTGACATAGGCCTCAAAACAACCCTGACAGCCCAAACACTTAACCCTGACACCCAAACACTAACCCCTGACATAGGCCTCAAAACTAACCCCTGACATAGCCTCAAATAACCGCATAGCTCAAACATAACCCTGACATAGGCCTCAAACACTTAACCCCTGACATAGGCCTCAAACACTTAACCCCTGACATAGGCCTCAAACACTTAACCCTGACATAGGCCTCAAACACTTAACCCCTGACATAGGCCTCAAACACACTTAACCCCTGACATAGGCCTCAAACACTTAACCCTTGACATAGGCCCCAAACACTTAACCCTGACATAGGCCTCAAACACTTAACCCTGACATGGCCTCAAACACTAACCCTGACATAGGCCTCAAACACTTAACCCTGACATAGGCCTCAAACACTAACCCCTGACATAGGCCTCAAACACTTAACCTTGACATAGGCCTCAAACACTTAACCCTTGACATAGGCCTCAAACACTTAACCCCTGACATAGGCCTCAAACACTAACCCTTGACATAGGCCTCAAACACTTAACCCCTGACATAGGCCTCAAACACTTAACCCTGACATAGGCCTCAAACACTTAACCCTGACATAGGCCTCAAACACTTAACCCCTGACATAGGCCTCAAACACTTAACCCCTGACATAGGCCTCAAACACTTAACCCCTGACATAGGCCCAAACACTTAACCCCGACATAGGCCTCAAACACTTAACCCTTGACATAGGCCTCAAACACTTAACCCCTGACATAGGCCTCAAACACTTAACCCTTGACATAGGCCTCAAACACTTAACCCCTGACATAGGCCTCAAACACTTAACCCTTGACATAGGCCTCAAACACTTAACCCTTGACATAGGCCTCAAACACTTAACCCCTGACATAGGCCTCAAACACTTCACCCACAAGTATTAACCTCCACACCGGACATTACATTATTCACAGCTTCATCTTCAAGAGGGTAGGGACTCCATCTTCTTGCTCCAGGACATTAGAAATACTATACAAACTATTACATTTATTATTACATAAGTACAGTACATGGTAATGTAATTATGGTGAACAGAGCATACTGTAGGTAGTACATATACACACATAAAATATATATATTTATATATAAGAACATACAACGTCCTGAGAAGTAAAATGAAAAGAGAAAAGACACAACGTTGTGATAATACTCCACCCTATGTGTTACCTCACTTGTATTGCTTCTCTTTATTTCTACTGTAATATTTATGCAGCATCTTGTGTTCTATAATTTTGATGAATGTTTTTAATGATTTTTTTCAGGCTGTTATTCTTTATCAGTAATGTCTATTGTGATAAAGTACAGTATAATATCTGGTATTTTGGTGGTAATAACTATGAATATTTATAGCTACCAAAACATTCACTCTTACATATATAAATAAATAACTAATAACTGGCCTTTAATCTTTATTATCATATTTTATTTATTCATATACAAAATATCAGATTTACACATAAAACAATTTTCTTCTAAAACTTTAAAAATTACATTAAAAATTTTCAAGACCTCAAACAATTACTGTATCAATTAACTACAATGTTTCATCATTGTTCAATAGAGGTCTGTCAAAATAAAGTACACCTCTTAGTGCATTATGTCTTCTATGTACAGTACAGCAGGTATGCACAAGGGGTCAAGTATCGTCTGCCTTTACTATACAAGGTGCCTCAGAAAAAATGTATATACACTGTCTTATAGATTTCAGTGGTGATCGTATGAATGCTCGTATTACAACAGCTACAGTGTCCTCACTTGTTGATGTCTGAGGTCTCCTACATGTGAGGACAATGTTGCTGTGGTAATACCTGTACAAGCAAGCATTCACATGACATAATTGCCCTGTAAACCAAAGAGATGTATTTAAAAATTTTTGAGACCCTGTACATTAGGCGATGGTCACAGCTCCAGCCACCAACACCTCACACTGGAATTTAAGGCAGCGTGAGGTGAGGCGAGCCGTGACCGCTACCTAGTTATTGCACTAGAAGTCAACCTGTTTCTTCAGCCAAATTTCAAGTACTGTACTGTGTAGTTTTGTGACATTCCCAGACAAATTTTGCCTATATTGTCACTAAACACTGCAAGATAACATGGTCCAAGAAAATTGTTCTCCAACTAATACAACGGTTGAGAAATGTACTGAAAGATTAATTAATATTTGATGTTTAAAATTTGACGACACATAAAGAATGTGTTTCTGTCAAGACTGAAGGGGAGAAATACCCTAAGAGAAAAAAATAAAGAGCCTCTACCTACTGTCCAATGACTTCATACAAAAATATATACATTTATTTACTTCTTAATAAAAATATTACAGTGATATACATAGAACTGGACCAATTAGCAAAGGCATCGTGCAACATTTATGCAATATTTACACATTAAAATCCTCTAATATATCAAATCATCCACGATACAACATAAGTAAGATCACCTTTAATGGTTCAGACTCTGATATTATTGACAACACATCATGACCACAATTACCTCAATGTATAAGACTATTACAATCCTTCTGTTTATTATGAATTACCTAAATGATCTTAAGGTGGACCTGTTCACCTGTTGTCAGTGAAGCCACAAAGTTGTGCCATAACCAGAAATTATTAAATAACTTGGTAATTATAAAGCCCATCCTGAAATATTTTATTTTATTTTTTTTACTGAAATGGTGAATATGACCGTGAAATACACCTAATACTCAGGAGTCTCCCTTAAAAGAGTTATCAGAATACCTAAAGCAGGATAACCTTGGCTGTCTGGCACTGTTGAGTCATACAGCATGATGGGATATGTGCATTTTACGATTTTTGGGAAAAAAGTCACTCCCTCTATGCCTCCACCCCACCCCCTCCCACCCATCCTGTTTCTTAAATCAATGAACATTATGCATTGAAATTCCTGGAATTTAATAGTGCACAGCTACTAAGCAGAATTTATTAATTAATATCAAACATTATCTATTATTACAGTAGTACTTGCAAAAGAGAATTCATCTTGCCAGAACAATGAAGAATCCCATGACTAAGTGGCCCCATGAAACCAGTAACAAACATTTTACCAATGGCTGGCGTCTGCTCAGGTAATTTCTGTTAGGTGTTACAGCATCAAATCCATGAACCACCTTCACAAGTCCAGGTAAAGCTAACAGTCCTGCCTCACTATAACATTAAGCACGACACAAGGCTCAACATGCAGTATCTTGTACAAGTTTTAAAAAACACAAATGTATCCCATAGAATGGAATAAATATAATGATAATTACATTCTTCTACACATTTAAAAAGAAATGACTTATGCAGTTAGAATGACAATGACCATAAATTGTATATATACACTGTACTGTACACACACAGGGTCTATACAACAATATGAGGGTCATAATCAAGTCACAAACTATGTACAGTTAATGTGTTTCTTTACACTACTCTGCAACTATGAGTCTATATACAGTATACAACGAGTTTCTAAAATACAGGGCGTCCATAAATGATTACCCTAAAACATTATGCTCTCATGCTTTAATCAGGGTAATCATTTATGGACACCCTGTATATTAATAAAACAGACATTTGCAACTCTGTCTCTGAAAAAAGAAGAATGGCACACTGACTATACCAGTAAAGGCCACTTATGTTACACGATAAAAATAATAAATATGAGCCATTTAAAGTAAAAAATATGGGCTATGCTATGTGTTTATACAGTATATATTATGACCGAAGTAACTCCTCTCCGTGCCCAATGATGTCTCTTTAAACTCTGCCAAATGCCTTACTGATATCACTGTGTTTGTTCTGGGAGGATCAAGCAGCCTAAAAGCTCTTGAAACAGTATTTTCAAATTTATATTCTTTTAGGTAGAGATAATTTCAAATAGTTGTGTATGTACAGTAGTGAATAGATGAGGTGGTTATTGATCCATATAACTCAGGAAAACGTATATAAACAAAAAACCTCAAGACAGTGTTAGAGGAACATGACTTACACACCAACAAGTGCTGTGACGTTCATGATCTTGGCAAGGTAATGTCCATTAAATGATAAGGCATATTCAAATAGTAAAATAAATTTTTAAGGAGAATAAGTAAAAAATTATGATATGAAGAAAGTAACAAAGGAAAGGCAGAATAAAATTAGAAAAAGAGATACAGTTATATACAAGATAAAGTAGAGCAAAAACAGTGATGATGAAGGCTCGTGGGGCCGTTTCCACCCAGAAGACCCGTAGTGTTGACGAGGAACAGACCATAGTGCTGGTGGGAAGTGAGGACAGAGGCTGGCTCCAAGCTTTTATTATTCCTAGACAAACACACTTGATGTCTGAGCAAAATTCACTCCAATTTCTTGAAGGTGAGTCAACTTTCACTTATATACGTGCATCTGCAATATAATGACTAATTACATAAACTTTTACTAAAATTAACATAATTTCGAATATGTATTTAAGTAAAAGTATTTACTAAGCCAGATTTCTGAATGGTAGCGTTGATGGCTAGGCAAAGAAACTCCAGTGAACAGTTTCATTATTTAAGCCAAACTCTCAACAGCACAATATCTGGCACCAGCATATACTGTAGTACTGTATTGTATGCCCAGTGATGTGACCTTCATTACCTACAAGTGATACTATGGAGAGGAGCCACAACAGAATATACAGTACTGTACATCATTTTTTCTAAAAGTCTTGAGAATTTATAAAATAAAGAACTGTACTGTACTGTACACTTCCAGAACAAGAAACATTTACATAGTGTGATGGTTCTGTCAAAAATTTTCAGCTTTAACAATTCTAAAAAAATACTAAAAATTCATAACAAAACACAGTATCCTTTAGAGCATTTATCCACAACTTAAAGCGTGGAAACACACATCTGATGCCATCATAAAAATCAGATGCTAATCTACCTGTTAACAGTGTCTTTAGATTCTGTCAAATAACAGTAGCTATTATCACAGTGATGAACCTACTGGGGTGACACTCCTGGACAGCTGTGGTCTATGTCATGATACTACCACAACAAACTGCCCAGCACCTGCTGCTAAACTTAATGTCTCCCACATCACCACCAAGGTGTCCATCTTCAACAGCAATTATCTTATAATACATCTTTACAATCAAATTTATAATAGTTCAAACAACATTTTCCAGTATTTATGTGCTCTAAAAGTTCATCTCTTTAATATCAGTCAATACTTTTAAATGTCTACATGTTACCTCCCACTTACTTAGACTGGTTATAATCAACATATACACGCACAACTTCACCTGAATATTTGCGTTGAGATGGAAGGTAGTAGAAGTCTGGAGTCATGTCCTGCATGGCAGTATTGTACGAGGGCAGAGAAGAAGTCGTAGAGCCCCTCGGGAGCGAATAAGTTCCGCGTGGGTCGAGGCGCGTCTGAGGAGCATTGCGTGGACGTTGAAGAGACCGCGTGTCTCCGCCGTAGCCTCCTGGATGCTGTCCAGGGTGTGCTGGCTGGCCATTGGGCCCTCCATTATATCCATTACTCTGGCCATTAGATTTACCGTATGAGCCACGAGGAACACTAGGACGTGAGGAGCCGCTGCTCCCCTGGCGACGTGAGTTCACTCCATTCTCCTCGGTCTCAAAACTCTCATAGGCATAATTCATGTTGCCTTGGCTATAGTCCTTCCAGCCTGAGTTGGTGATTAAACGCTCCTAGTAAAAAATACACACCAATCAAGGCTGAGAACATTGACTTTCATATACAGTACATAGTACAGTACAAATTTTTTTTAATAAAGTGCAGACTTCTCTAATATTACGTAGGGTATAAAGTACTGTATAGTTCCCAGATACAGGGAGTACTATACAGTAGTAAATATATTTATCTATTACTATTGTACTACTGTATTACACTTAGAACTAGTTACATGCTAACTTGCTACCCACCACCTTACAATTAGGAGTCATTCAGTGAAATAATAATAATAATTAAAAAAAAAAGTGATTCTACTAGTCAGGCACCAGGCCAGGGTTCTCAGTACTCGGCGGAGTACCCGTCTTTGTTGGACTGTTTGAAGCCGAACGGCACGAGATTGTAGCGGATGACTGCAGTCCACTCGTAGGGTAGGGTGGCAATGTAGGATATAATGCCTCCGCCGACACCAAACCCACTTGACTGCCTGAGGGAATACCGTAACCAGCCAGAGCAGTAGCCCCCATTCCTGCTGCAGGTGGTGGTCCAACCTACAGGGTACCACACCCAGAAGAACGAAGACCAACAGGGACCAAGGACAGGTAAGCAGGTAAGGGAGAAAGAAGACCAGTTAGTACAGTATACAACACAGCCAATGAGATCAACTGCGGCATAACCTTTAAGTTTCATACAGTCTTAAAGTTCCCAAGAGTGAAGTTGTTAGTTACAGAACTGTAATGGGCAGCTTATCTCACCTTCACTCATGCATTTTTAAACACATTTAACCCACACCCTCAAACTGCTCCAGTGTTGTGAGCTAAAGGTATAAATATTTGTTCAGGTTGATCCCAATCTAAGTCAAGGGTGAAGAACTTTCAACACTGGCAATGTGGATGTTGGATCAGCTCTCATGGTGATCCTTCAGTAAGTCTTGGAACACTGTGGCACACTTACAGGACAAGTCTGGCTCACTGTACAGTATGCATTTGAAAATATGATGAATTATTAAAAAAAAAAATCTTAAACACAAATTTTTAATGAACTAACTACAGTTTTCTTTAATATTTACATAGTTGGTTTATAGTACTACATACTTAGCTAATTACAAAAAGTGAGAACCTCTAATGTTTATTCCCTCTTTAAAAGGAAGGTGAAGCTTGCTGGAGGGGAAGTCATTGTTCCTCAGTAAATTAATTCATGCATAAAGCAAAGGTGATGAAAGATTGAGACACAGTCAGACACACACACACACATGCATGCCCAGACACACACCAGAAGTAGATGAATCTATGTCAGTCATACTTTAAGTTAATACAAAAGTGACATAGATACAGAAGAATTTTATCACTTCACTAAAAAATACAGAAGTACAGAGCACATAAGTATTAATATATGAAATGGAATATGACACTATTAATTACATCCAATAACCCATCAAAGTAATGTACTAAGAGAGAAGGTATGGAGATTAACTTAGAAATACATTAATATTAACAAGTACAATACAACAATTTTATGTCTATCCATACTATAAATATAATTAATACCTCTGGATTATTTCTCAAAACCATACAATCTATAAGTGACAATTACTTATTTTCAACCAAGTTCTTTACTTTTGTTTGCCAATATTTGCTTCCTCTTTTACTCTATCAATATGTAAGTTCCTTCAAACACTCCAAACTAGAGCCAGACACACCCATAAAACTCACTCTGTTTACACCCATTCACAAAATTATCTTTTCCAGTTACTTATACATGATCTAAAAACTTGAATATTTAAGATTTTTATCCATATAAATCTGTCATCACATACATTACATTATGAAGAATTTAAGACATTTTTCATCCAAAGTCTTTTAAATGCAACTTTTCCTTCAACAGTAGAGTAATGCCAAATTAAGTTCATTGCTGTTTAGTGAGTTGGGAGACGATTATTATCCTATATTCTATCTCCTTTGCCGTACATTCTTTCTCACCTTGGTGCTTACAGGTGGACTTTTATTCTTCTTAGACCTGAAAATCATGATGGTGGCCTGCATAAGCGCGATCAGCAGCAACGCCCCTACGACGGCCACAATGATCCACACCTTGTTGACCTTCAGGAACCTACGTGTAACAGGGCAGAGCCGCCATGTCAATATATATCATGGTAACACAGATGGAGCAACACAAACTCAAATAATGATAAGCAAATGAGCATCACTAATATCAGATTCTTGGCGACTTACAACGGAAAGTAGAAAGTTCACCTGATAGTTGGATTCGTGCCGTCGTCAATCTCCTCCCCGAGGTGTGTTACAGAATTCTCCCCTAACGACTCTGAAGCTGGACGGGGAACACAATGTTTAAATACCAATACAGCCAAAACATATCACTGTAAACAGTCTTTTTCCTATAATATATTTCTACACTGTACTATGTAAAAAAAAAAACATCTAATTAAGGATTATGTTCAGAAAAGACTTGATAGTAGAGTCTAGTATTCTACGTGTTTTGTACATGACTGATACAAGAAGCTTTATCATATATTCAAACTAAATTTATTATCCATCTTGTTTCAATAATAATTTCCAGAATATATATATACCAATCATGAAAAATTTATGTTGTCTTACCTGTAACAACACCCCAATACACTATGAACACTGATAATACAGAGTGCCGTTCATAAAGACCACCCATCACCGCACCACCAGTACCGCCAGCACCTACTGTATCTGATGTCCCTATGCATGTTTGTGTCCCCCAGTCTACTACGTACCATCACCGCCAGCACCGACGTAGTACTCGGTCCCTACACGTGTTCAGTGTCCCACATGTCGATTACTCTCAGCACCGCCATAACTGCTGTACAGTATTAGTCCCTATATACGTTCAAAGTCGCCAACAGTCTACTACTCCCAACACCACCAGAACCATTGTAATTGTCCCTAAGTATGATTAGTTCACCAGAGACCCTTATGATCCACATTGACAGACATTCAACCTTTAACCCAAGTTCTTCACTACCAACACCTTCCCGTCTCTGGTTTGCAATACTACAGCAACAAACGGTACGTCTTTTGTCACACATTTCCGTCACCTTTCGTTTTACGGATTAGTTTTTACACATCGGTTACATTATCCAGAATATATACAGCTCACATCATGAATTCAGACACTATTAATCTCCTTTAGACTTTGAAGCCGATATCAATGAATTTTATTTCCAAGACATGTTTTAAAATGAATACTGTTCATTATACAAGATGAATTCCTAACATAATTGATATTTTTCAGTTAAAATTTTACTTAATTAACACTGGGGTAAAATCCTTCACTAAACAAACTGTTCTTTAACGGTCCTCTCTAGTATTGCACTAACACTCCTCTGTGTATTATTGGAAGTTTCTATGTAAATTCTTTTATGTTCATCCAAATCAGTTATTAACACAATTACTGTACTGAATAATAATAATTCATCCATTAATTGTACTTCTCATCCTATTCTACAATATTCATCAAATATATCTAGACTGTATTTATATATCACCATTCAATCTTCTTATTCTCTCTCATATACTTGTCTCTAATACTGTACAATGTTATGTGTTTTGATCTGCTCAGAAAGCATCAAGGGAGACGTGAGGGCAGCAACAGCAGCAGCAGTACGCACAGTTAACACTGCCCTACACCCAAAAGCACGGCCTTACACCTCGTCCAAGAACAATATATAAATGCAAAGATAAGATAAGAGAAGATGCCTGTATGCCATGTACAGATATTATAAATTTGCAAGTTATAGTATACAGCACTACAGAAAAGAAAAGAATTTTGAAGGGAGAGAATTCCCAACTGTATGTCATGAAAGCCATGAAGAAATGTGGGATGAGGATATTTAAATGTACAGTACTGTACTGTACTGTACTGTACTGTACTGTACTGTGCTATGCTGTGCTGTACTGTACAGTGCTTAACTCCTTAAGAGATTTTTCTATTCAATGTTCAAAAAGTGTCTCTCCTCTCCAGCATCACCACACCAACTTGTTGCTTCTCTCAGTTTAACTATTTAAAATACTTTACAACTCTAACAATAACAACTCTTCATGCCTTTTTTTGTGAAATGACTTGACTTAACATTTTCGCCACTGGATAGTTAGCTAGTTAGTCTGTTCTGTTGTGCGATGTTGACAAGTACTGTACTGGGCATAAAAATGACTTATTTTGATCAACACTTTCTCTCTCCCATAAGTTTTCCTATATTTTACTTTACTGTACAGCTTCATACTGTATCTGAAGAATGTACCTCACCTGAAGGAACCAGGTGACTATCTTTGACACAAGACTTTTTCCTAAATTACTTGCTAAAATAACAACCATGAATAACTCTTATAGATGTGTGATGGCCAAGTAGATACAGCCCTCGCCTTCTGGTTCGATCCACCCAGCTGTGAGTAGGTATTTTTAGTTAGGGAAGTGATGGAGGTAGAGAGTAATGCCGACCACACTGCCTCCTTGTGTAATGAAGGCTCAATATACAGCGTGTTGTATCAGTACCACCCCTAACAGGTCATCAAGCTAATGTTACCGACTTTATACATCTACATTCCAATGTTTAACTTTTAATATGTATAATATTTAACAGTCATTACCAGATGGTTCATAGCAAGTCTGATCCTAAAATAAATCAGTCAACATGGAGGTTAATAAGCAGCTCCCCCTCAGTGTTAGTACGGTGCAGGACTTGTCTTATATATTAATGTTAGTAAGGTGCATAACTCATTTCAGTAACCAGTACACTGGAGGAGAAAGGTACCAAGACTATTTCTACATAAGATAACTGATATTCCATCATCTAAGGCCCACTGTCAAGACTGTCTCCTACAAAACCATAGGAACAGAATAACCCTCATGGTACAGAGGTAGAAAATAATAAGGTGGACATCTTAATTCTTTGTTTTCACTAAAGATCAAGATGTACACATATTAAACATAGCTCAGTAGTCGAATGTTCACCTCACAAGGAAGTGGTCCCAGTTAAATTTTAGGCCAGTGTGGGAGGACAGTATTCCTCTTTGAGCACTAACCACTGAACACCAACCATAAAAACTAGGACATTATCTCTTTTATACTGTGCTGTATAATCTGGAGGTAATCAAACGTGCTAAACTTGACGCAGCCCACAAAGTACTGTGCTGTCAGTACGCGCTTCCCTCTATCTCCCTCACTCTTGGCTGATTGTACTGTAGTACTTTATTAAAGATGAATGAAGTACGGTAAGTCTCTGAACTTATTCATAAAACTAAAAAGACTGGATATATTTATAGTGTACATCATTCAATAAAGAATAGAGTAAGTATTCTACATTATGCATAACTTCAGTGTAGGTATATGGCATACTATATTGTAATGAATGTATTGCTTCAGATACTTTTACTAATGGTATGACAGCAGTATTGTGCATGTTTCCCACCAATACATCTCAGGTTGGCTGTGAGAAGGGTGTTGCTTCGTGTGACCTTACTGAACATCACAGGTTTTCTCTGGGTACCACTGTACTCTAATTTCCTCCAGAACTAACACTAGACTATGGGTGACGGCCTTCACTGAATCTTCAGAGAGGTCATTTAGATATAACTGACTGAGCTATGTAGTATAAATATACACTGTACAGAATATATATACAGTAATAAAAAATATCCTCCATATGGAAAATATTTGTACACAGTAGGCAGCTCGGGTGGCACGAGTCTTGACACGAGGGACAAACTCAGTCTGTACACATTAAATAACATTGTCAAGCCTCCTGTTACAAGTGGATTGTTAGATTTGCCATAAACATAAACTGTGAAGCACAACTAAAACTGTTCAGCTATTTACAGTAGTTGTAGATCAGACTGTACAGCACCAGGTGACAGCCCTTCAACATTCTTCATCTGGTTATAATAAGAATCTGGCCTGAGTACCACCATTACTTAGCACTGTACATTAATCCTTGAATCAACTTATGGTATATTTACAAGACAAATCCACTCGGGGGAAACTAATGAACAACATTGAACCTTTCTCCTACAATGTAATAATTACCAACTCAATGTCAAATTGTGTCTATGTCTCCTGAAAACTGAGAGCTATGGGAAAAAAAATTATTAAAGGAAATGAAATTGAGACTTCAAAGTTGTTTATAATTGTTGGGCAGTTAAAAGAAGTGAGGGATAGGTGCACAAGGACTTACTGTTGGGAAAAATGAAAAAAAATTAATAAAATACAAAGTGCATTTGCATTTATTAAAAAGCTGATTATGAGCAGAACATCTATGTAAACTTAAAAAAAAATAATTCCGATGATATATCTTGTGATCCTCAATACCGTACATAGACTGAAAGCGTCACGCATTCCAGCATCACGTTGACAATGTGGCGTAGCGATCATGCTTGCTGGTCACTATAATCATTCTGAATTAACGAGCCAAAAAATCTTTAACCAGAGGACTGACCAAAGTACATCTATGCCTTACATATAACAGCATATGTGAGTTCTTAACATAACAAAGTAATCATCTCATAGCTCAGTTGGTGGAGAACGTGGATAGTGTACAGTACAATATATACCACATACAGACCTACCACATAAAATACATTAAGGTGAAATATTGTTAACTTTTAGTGGATTATTATCATATTAGACGGGTCATACCAAGTTTCATATCAGTGCATGGTAGAGAGATGTAGAGAGTGGACCCTTAACATACGCTCCTCAACTTGTGTGTTAGCGTGCTGGTACTATATAGTGCTGGGATGCTGGTGGTACAGTGCTTGGCTTAATATCGCATTGTTACAAACACAAACAAATGTACTGTACTCCTAAAAGAAAAAGAAAAACTAAATATTTATAAATGAACGCCTAGCAATTTCTCAAAAGCTGACGATTCTGTTTTCTTTCCTTCAAAAAATGTCGATCAAGTCAGAGCCGAAGAAAAAGAATAAGTAACTGAAGTAATTCCTGGGAAGTTGTAGCAGAGGCGAGACATTTGTTTGTGCATATGTAACAAAACACCGCCAATACTCTGTCCCCCTTATAAGCCAGGGAGAACCTAGAAGCAACCTACCAATTATGGGAATTTCCACAGCATAAATGATGGTTAAAAACAAAAAAGCATCGTTAGGAAATGGCTCGATGATTCACAACCATCTGCCAAAGTAAGCATTAGAAATTCAAAGGCAAATTGGCAGAGGGAAAATAGCTTCACTCTGATATCTTTGCATGGATGGTACTGTACCCTCAATAAAACTCTATCTTAGATACAGTATACTGAACTTTGTAACCATAAAATGTCTAATAATAAAAATAAGTGGTATTTCATGATAAAAAATATATATATTTTGTACAGTAAATGAAAAAATGGTGTTTGAAATGTTCCATAACCATTTGATATTTACTGACAAAACTTTTTTTTTTTTTTTTGAGAATAGAAGCTACTGTTTTAAGATATGATATGGTAATAAAAAGAAAGAATACTCAACAAGCAGTACAGTCTATGAAAATATGGTAAAACACTCAGAATAATTTAACAATGAGGACCATTTAACCCTCTGGTACTCATGGGCATGGACGGAAATCTCATGCCCTCTTGCAGTCATTTGACATAGGTTGCATCGGTAACGGGAACAGTTTTTCAATTTTAGTAAACATTGGGAAAAGCGATCCAGACCCTAATTGCAGCCCTTGAGGTTGATAGTGCTGGAGTATAAGTAAAAGGTCCACTGTTCCAGCATCTCTCCTTATGGGATGGGTGCTCTCAGTGTGAGATAAGGCTGACCGAGAGGGGTCAGGCCATCACGGGAGCGCTTAGTGACACAATCTTTGTCAGAAGACCGTGAGAGGGTTCATGACAAACTCTGCTAAACGTGTAATAACTCTTATCAAGTGAGACTTGTGTGAGGTAAATGCCAGTTACATTCTTATACTATGAAAATTCTTGGTACTGATCAAGCTGTTAAAAAAATTCAAATCAAGAAGAAAATAAATTTACCAGAGAAGTTAATTAGTCTCCAGAAGATGTACCGGTAGAAGTAGTGTCCACATAAACCGACATATAATAAGAAAAAGACCTGAAGGAAACATGACAGAAACATTCCTCAGTGATGGAAGAAGCCAACAACCAACCCACAAGTCAACCAATAACAACCAAGTACAGTATTAGTATTTCCTTCCCCAAAAGTAGTGACCTGTAAAGAATAATAAAACTCTTCTTATACATAATCTTATACTACATAATCCTACCCTCTACTAATGCTCTAACTATTTTCTATTCAGGAATATGCAGGGGTTTCGTCTCGTACACATGCAACTAACGACCACACAAGTACCATATGAATAATGTCCATCTCAAGAACAAACTGTCTTATCCAATTCAGTTGTCATCTTGCTCATTACATTCTATTCTTACTTAAATTCCACTGATCTTATACTAATAATTATAGTGTGCTCGGGGTGCTTAGATTATCACAAATTATATATATTATCTGTTGACATGCATCGGCAAATCTTTTTAAGTAATCCCTAATACTGGGCGTCACGTGATAACAAATTATGGAAGACATCTCACCAACTAAGAATATTTCTCCCTCCTAACTTATATAATACTGTAAAAAATACCACATTTATATACTACAGTACACTTACCACCACCAAGAACTAACCCCCAAAATAAAACAATCATTAACAAATAAAAATGATGATAAAACTCAAATGGAAAACTGAGGAGTACTGGAAACATGACTACAGTATAAGTGACCTGATCTAAGGGGAGGAGGAGGTCATACAGTACCAGGATCTTGATAACATAGGTTTTAATTCCCTTTTTAGTGGGTTGGATCATTCTTTGTTCCCGGTGATTGATGTTGGTGATCCTTTTCTTTGATCAGGATTACTTTCCTTATTGATGTTTATATTCCTGACCAAATGATTTATCTATCAATCTTACAACGAAACAAAAGACACAATGGTCTACCAAACAATCTTACAACCACACTAAAAACAAAACCCTTTGAGTGATCTACAATACAGAACAGCAAAACAAAAGAATTTATGGTCTATCTTATAATCTTAACCAGATATATTACTGAATTAATGTCTCTGTGCCGATTCATTAACCCTTTGAGGATGGATGTACTATACTCAAGGGGTTAAGACATCGTACTCAAGGGGTTAATACTGTATACTTCATAAAACTCCGAGTATTATTTAGTTTTTCATTTTGGTTTTATCTTTCTTTAGGTAGAAAGTGAAACAATAGACTAAAAACAAGTAAAACATTAAAAAAAACTGGATTCATGATAAACTACAATGACAAGTCTCCCTCTTTGTGGTCCCGAGTCCTCACACATGACCTGCACATGAAAAAGATCTCAAGACTTTGCTTTCCTTTATATACTTCAGACTGAGATGGTAACCTTATTTGTCTTAAGCCAAGTGTACGGGGCACCTTGCTAGGAGCGCTAACTGGAAATTTAATAGCTATTCCTGAGATATCTCTGTGCTATCTTATTTTTTCCAGTGCTATCTTATTTCTCCACTGCTGTTTTATTTCTCCAGTGCCACCTCCGTACCATCTCGATCCCACCTCACCAGTCATCTGTCACAGAATCCTTACGGGCAAGTTGGTGGCTTCAGCACTGGAGTCTGTGACGGTGCATTCAGTCCAGCAAAGGGCTAGAATTGTACAGTGTGATGGTGTGTGCCCGGAGGTAAGTATGGGCTGTACACACCACTGACGGGGGAGTTTGCAGGTGGAAGGTACTGATTAGAGCTTGGCTGTTTGAAGGTGACTCGGCCCCACATTACTTGGCCAGTACGAGGATTATAGAACTGAACCCTGCGAGTGACCTGGCCATTTCCTTGATTGTTGAAGCCATTTCCTTGATTGTTGAAGCCATTTCCTTGATTGTTGAAGCCATTTCCTTGATTGTTGAAGCCATTTCCTTGAGTGTTGAAGCCATTTCCTTGATTACTGAAGCCATTTTGCACATTAGGTACATTCTGTGGTGGATCTACAGGTTTCCCCTGATATGGGAACCTCTGGAAAAATGGCTGCTCATTCTGTGTTGGCTGGGAAGGTGACTGAACCCCCGATGAAGGCTGATGGCTGGGTATTGACGGGTACGAGGGACGAGATCCAAACCCTGGCTGCTGAGGAGGAATCTGACTCCCTGCTGGTTGATGTGGAGGACTACTTTCTGCTGCTGGCTGGTCATACCACTCACCAGGCTGTGACTCTGACTCAGGCTCAGGCTCTGATTCAGGCTCTGACTCAGGCTCAGGCTCTGACTCAGGTTCAGGCTCTGGATGAGGATCAGTATGAGGCCTAGAATTTGGATACCTTGGAGTGAGGAAACTGGATGGTCTTTGAGTAACATGTGGAGGAGCACCAAACGTTCCTGGGAATACATTAAAAGAAGAATCCTGGAAACCCCCACCACTACCACCACCACTAGACGAGTCCTGAAAGAAAACGTTTGGTATGGCCGGCGTACCTCGTAGATGACTGACTCGAAGGAACTGAGAATCAACATGCAGGGAACCAACAGTCCCATGTTGGACAGACTCCTGCAGCACCTTCTTCACCATCGACTCATTTCCTACTTCATTAGTATCACCTGCAAATATATAAACAATGTAAATTATCTGTATTAGTGAACCATATTACAGCATTATTGTTATTTAGGAAGACCTAGACTTAACCCAGTAGTGACTTTATTGTGTCTAGTATTGTATTGTACAGGTGTCCATGACAATAGGCAGGTTTAGGGACAGTCAGCTTTAATCTGGCAGTTTAAGATGCCACTAAATACTGTGTACAGAAGTGTCTATATTATTACAAGTTGATATCTACAAAGTGTACATGTAAAATGTGAAAAAATGCTTATATTTTTTAAAGAAATTTACCAATATTTCACCAAGACAAATCCTCATGACCATTATCAAGAGCTTAACACATTAAGAACTATGTCATGTACTATGACCACCAGCTAATTAAAGAGTAAAACACAGACAAACAGATATAGACAGACAGAAAGAAAGACACACTCACACACACTCACATCCCTTTGAAGTGTTCCATCAAAGCACTTTTACCACTGAACACTGTCAAGGTAAATACCACACTGACATTATCACAAGTGTGGGCCAGAGAGAACCAACACTTGTCACTGTACGTACGTCTAGTACCTCCTGGGCCACACCTCTCATATGTTGTGTGGAGACAAATCCTCGGCGGAACTGGTTCAAAGCCATGTAAGTATGTCAAGGAAATAAAATGAAAGAGGATAGGTGGATGGAAAGAGAGGAGGAGGAGGGTCCTATCAACACTCTGAGGTTAAGGTGACAGAAACAAAAAGTATCTACCTTTAGGAGGAGGAACTTCACCAACTTCAGCCTCATGAATGTCCTTGTCCAGTATAACTTGCAACGTGGTCACCAAGTTCCCTTTACCATCAGATTTCCTGTGAGAAGAGAGAGACACTGCCATGAATCTGACGAACATGTGAGTGACTTGGTAGAGAGATTTGGTCAATGCTTCCTGGGGATAATGCTCTGGGAGAGGCACAAATACTCAAGGGGGGGAAATGTTGGTAATTGTGTCAGTGGTTAGAGTGAATGGAGGAAAGGGGAAGAGAGAAGTGGTGTGTTTTACCCTCGACTCCTCCCAACCTGTAGTGTAATAGGGAAATGCATGCTAGATGATGATGGTACTGTACCTCACAAAGAAGTTTATGAAGTACAGTACATCACGAAGAAGTTTATCAAGTACAGTACATCACGAAGAAGTTTATCAAGTACAGTACTTTTCTACATTTAAAACCTCCCATAACTTACAAGCTGCTAATTTCAGTCGCTTGGTATCCAGGAACTTTGTCAAGTGCACCTCCCAGAGAGTCTTGCACTCTTTCGTTTAGCAGCCGCCACGCTGTTGAGCCCTGCTCCGGAATTTTGTAATTATCACCAATGTTCGTCAGTAAGAGTTGAACTTCGTACTTCAGCAGGGATGGACGCGGTGTGGTGGTGTACACAAACGGCCGCCCACCAGCCGTACCTGTAAGTGAAGTGGAATGTGTGTGCAAGGAAGTAAGATGCACCAACCCTATTGAACTATCTAATGTTACACAGCAGAAGGCTACAGCATCAAGTTTACCAAGGTATGAAAGAGTGAGATCTGTGGAACAACTACTGTGGGTGAGAGAACACAAATAACTATTAAAATACCAGTTGATTATGTAATGCTGGTTGAGTGGGAGATCCTACATAATCACCGACTTCTTTCCCTTAGTGAAATCAGAAATATATGGTACCCATTAATTATATTAGATGGTTTATAATTAGGGTTATACTCCCAGCGTACTGCACCATCCTCTCAATTGATAATAATAGTTAATCTTCAGCCATCACTACCTGGCGTACAAACACACAATTTATACTCACCATACTTGAGGCAGGAACGGATACAGATGCGTTCAGAGGATATTATGGGTGTGGCTTCGTGCTTGCGGATCTTCTTGTTCACATAGTTGACGATGCCGCCCTTCACGGGGAAAATCATGTAGAGGCACTGGTCGTCGGTGAAGCTCAGGTCCTGAAACATGCACCAACCTTGTAACATGTTCTGAGGAAACCAGTTTTATATAATTACTTATTGTTTGATTAGAGGCAAACTACAAAAATATTAAAAAGAGAGATAGAGAGAGATAGGTGAGAGAGATAAGTGAGAAGAGAGAGACAAATAGGAGAGAGATAGAGAAGAGAGCAGAGAGAGAGAGATAAGTAAGAAGAGAGAGACAAATAGGAGAGATAGAGAAGAGAGCAGAGAGAGAGATACCTACATATTCTTTATCCCCGGACACCCTCTTCCTCGTAAAGCTGATGGTGGAGATGCCATCTTCATTAGAGCCACTCTCATTCCTGATGCCCTGTTTTGGATCCACAATAGGGGAAGAATAGGAGCGGGACCAGGCGTCATACATGAAGAATCGACCCGATCGCTCGACCCATCCAATCACCGCATCAGTCAGGGCCTGTTGGGATAACATATTGCATTTAACACAAGTTCTTGGTCCTGGTCACATAACTGGTTTAACTTAATTATCAATTCTTACTCATCTGCCATACAAGGATTTGGTTAATTAAGAGTCCTGTACAGTGATGATAGCAACAGGTAATATGAGCCCATAAGGCTGTTTGCAGATGGCACGAGTTATTGAAAAAATATTAAGTGTTCACTTCATTTATATACAAAACTTTCCAGTGAATATAATTTTCAGTAAACTAAAGACGTGACTGAATGACGGTACCGACCATCCTGGTGTTGTCGGAGAAGCCAATACCCATCCAGCGGTTGGTGTGTTTGGTCTGGATTGTAAACTTGATATCATCGGTATTCTCAAAGTACTCCCACTTGGCGTAGTAGTCACAGTCTACCCCGGGTGTACAGTCTCCGGGGATCTTGCGGTGATCACCACACCAGGTGACGTCGTCAGTACTTGGTTTTGTCTTGGCTAAGGTTTCCTCTATAAATCAAAACAAGAAATAAACAGATTTAAGGTTTTACTATTCTGAAATAAATATCTTAGAGGTGAAGAAGATAAAACTGATGACTTAAATCAGATTATTAGATTTATAATAACAGCAAGATTTAATACACGTGTTTTTCCTTCAGTAGACTTTATCAGTATTATTCACTGAACACGTTATTGAGCCTAAACCATTACACAATTATCAAATGTTAAAACGTACATTTATACAGTGAAGATGATGACAGAACTGTTTTAGTTAAGGTGAAGACATCATACAGTATGTACCCGATCACAGAGGGTCTGAGACGGCTTATATTAAACAACAATACTTCTAGAATACTGTACTGACCCATTAAGTTCATCGTGACAACGCCTCTTTGGCCTTGCTTGCCGTGGTATTTGATTTCATCGGGGCGGTAAAAGTCGGGTACACTGGCAGAGCCCGTTTCGAGGCCTGAGGTGGGGGAGTGGACGTACATGCCCGCCTCTTGACCCCGAGCCCAGATGACGTGCATCAGGGAGTCGGAAATGGAGTGGTCAGTTGGATGGGTGGCTGAGAGAGATTAATACACATTAGGAGAACAATTACATTAACCATTGATCTGAAGACTTATTCTTTGTTATCATCCAATTTTAAAATAAATAAAGTTTTATTCATTTTTATCTCAAACTATCTGTGATGTGTGATGCTGGGCCCACACGACGACACCTTGGGTTGACTCGTACAGAGTATAGTTGGACTAGGATGATTACAAGCATAGAGACACTCTCATGAGTACTGGATGATTACAAGCATAGACACACCCTCATGAGTACTGGATGAGTACAAGCATAGACACACCCTCATGAGTACTTCTTCCAATCCACCACAATAAAACAACACAAATTAACAGTTTTTTTTATGGTATTGATAAAAATCTTCGTCTTTACCTTCAAGTTTTTTCCTGAAGAGAATAGTTGTCACACCATCGGTCTCCCAACCCAGGGCAGCGGTGAGGGAACTGTCACCTCCCCAGAATGTATCCAACCTCGGGGTGGATCGATCACGGGTGTAATAATCGTCAATGCGGTAGTGGTGTCCGTTTGCTACCCCAATCACGATATCCGTACAGTCCATGGCATGAAAATCAGCCTTGGGCACAAAAGGTGAAGCGCCACTCAAAGGTTCTGTCGGAGATATGAAAACTTAACATTATCAGGCACAACTTTTGTACCTTAAATTATCTCTGAAATTATGATGATGGAATACAGGAAGAAATTACATAATGCAAAATAATTAGAGCTCACACAACTACAAGTATATTACTAATACAATATTCAGTTTATGTATCCAAGAGTCACAAGTAGTCAACAGTGTCGGCATAACTCACCAGGTTCAGACTCAGCTTCAGATTCGGGTTCAGACTCTGCCTCAGATTCGGGTTCAGACTCAGCTTCAGATTCGGGTTCAGCATAAGCACTCTCTTTGATCACACTCTCCGTCCCTCCCGTTAACTTCGCTGGTTTCAAGACCGGGACAGCAAACCGAGCAGGCCTAGAATCAAGACAATAAATATCAGTACAGTATATCTTTTTATGTCTTATTGAACAGATAAAGGGTACAATAAAATATACTATACATATACAACATTCATACAACATACAACACAACATACATACAGAACTTTATCACCAGTACACAATATACAGCTATTACAGTACTGCTAACACTTGCAACATATCAAACACATTACTTTTCTTGGATCGCATGAAGATTAGCACCTCAACTTATGTTACCTTAACCACCCTAATGGTAATCTAACCTAACCGAAGCCCCCCTCCAGGTAACATTAGTGTTTAATGATCAGGTGAAATAAGCCAGGGTGTCTAATCTTCATGTGACCTCAATACAGGAGCTTTACCTCGAGTGTGTGTCCCGCTTCCCTCTGGGTTGCAACAGTCCATTGACATTATCTGGTAATATATTCAGTGCAAAATATTAATTAAAATTGATCTTACATCCAACATATATATAGTTAACCATTAATTGCAAGATGGGATATGAAATAATACTACAGAATGTAAAAAGAAAATATTCTTCAATATAACTACACTGAAAGGAAGGAATACTGTATAAAGTACAGTATTATATTAAAAAGTAAGACTATTTACCCAAATGTTCAAAACATACAATACTGTAAATATAGAAAAAACAATAAAATAAGCATATATGGCAAAAAATCTTAAAATACAGTAATGGCAAATACTGTAGTGATGAAGGTGTGAGGTGTTGATAAAATATATATCTCAATATATTCATTAAAAGACAACATGCTTAATATAAATAATTACCTGAGATAACATCACCTGATGATGAAAAGGTGAAATAGAAAGAATTAATAATGCAAAAAACAAACAAACTATTATCATTGTGTGGAAGGTTAAACAAGATGCACGTGCAGGCTGACACCATACAGTTCCTCTCAAAATCACACAAACTTACCGTCACGATCTGCACAAAAAGACCCAATAATTATGTTTTTATCAGTGGTGAAGGGGATAGGAATTAAGGGTTGGTTTGAATTCCTGATTACAATGGTGTTCAAGTATTAATGGGGCACATCCTAATCAACCTATTACAATTGGGAGCCATTAAGACTGGACCCCAATTCTAATAATTTAATAAAGGTTAGGGTCACCACTAGGGACCATTTTGAATGGGTCAGACACCTTTGTTTATCCCCAGAGTAAGAAAGTCAAGCAATAATAAATAACATGCAGATAAAAGTATACTATGAACTACATGCCAAAGGTTATAATGGCAAATATAAGAGTTAATTAGTGTATCATGCCTCATGCTTCCTGAAAGTGACAAGACTGGACAATTCTACCCGGTACTTGGATCAGTTCATAATGTCCGAAGTCATTCATCGTAAACAACAATCACACGAGCGAATAAAACTACGGAGCTTTTGGTTAGCTAAGTATGAGACGCTCCAGGCCAGAAGAAGATACAGTCATGGTATAGAAGCTTGACAGGTGTTCAATTCACCATTACAGTAATGTATACTTACAGGTATGTACTGTACATTCGTATTTAAAAATTACTAAAATGTCACTTGCATTTTTTTATTTACAGTTGTTACTTGTCTAATTCTCGCCCAGAGCGCTAAATATATGACAACTTCTACCAATACCAGTTTATATTAACTTATATATATATATATATACAGTATATATATACAGTATACATATATATATATATATTTATATACATATTTATATACATATTTATATATATATATATATATATATATATATATATATATATATATATATATATATATATATATATATATATATATATATATATATATATATATATATATATATATATATATACACAACCTATTTGTTCAACAGCATATACAAACTACTACCTTATATTCAATTTTTTCTTAGGTATATTATATTGTAATCTTGTTTCATGTAATAACAATAATAACAGTGATATCTATAACACATTTAAACCTTTCATCGGTAAATACAAAATATTACATAAGACTGTCGTATATCAAACAGATCATTGGTTGATAGATGGACAAGCATCATGATAGATGGGTAGATATACAGAATGATATACAACCAGTTAAATTATCATCATACAAGATGACAATGGTTCATCATACAGATAGAGTGCAGGAACACAAACAACAGTGAATTGTGTCATAACTCACTGGTGGGAGACTGGCAGTGTACGACAGCACATGTACCCATACAGTACACACATTACATGTACTGAGAGGCTCCTGCAGGTGTCAGAATTTTCCCCTTGCATACACTAATTTACAGTATACTAATGAAATGTACAGTATACCCCAGTACACTGAAGGAACATACAGTATACAGTGTTCAGGATTTGTTCAGAATTACAAGGCTCTGAAGTCTTATTGTATATGAAATTATAAGTGCACCTAACTGCCTGATTTAAGCTGAAACTCACTAACAAACCAAAATGGCCTCCAATTGACACAAATATTCTTCCTTTACTAGATATATACATTTTTATGCCTTCCTTTAAACAAACACTAATAACAAATTTCTCAAAATGATCTGAACCTTACACGAGTCACTTTCAAAATAAGTCTGAATATTTACAACAGCCTATAGTACAGTACAGTCAGGGTCAAAAGTTTGCTCCCTCCCAAAATGAAACAGTATCGACCCAAAATGAAGCAGAATCGACCCAAAACAAAGCAGTATCGATGCAAAATGAAGCAAAATTGACCCCAAATGAGATAAAACACCATACCCCCACTTGACACAGTAAGTTCGGACACTCAGTCCCATGATTCACTTTTACTATGGGGAGCGAACTTTTCTCCACAACCGTACACAAAATTTAAACCATAAAACTATTTCGACAACTAAATCAACACATTTGCTGGATACCACTTCAACTAAACATTTTCCCTAACACAACCACCACACTATACTGTACAAATTTCATAAACATTAAAACTGACAAATCTATCAACACTAAATCACTGTACATTCCCATCATCTAACCTGATACAGTATAGAGAAAACTGCAGTACGTATACAACTTTTACAATTACGGTACAAATTATAATCTTGAATCTTGTTATAATTATAGGTACTGAATCTATAACTATCATATATCTATAAATGTATATACACCTATGTATAACTGTTTAATTATCTATAACTATATACAGGTACCTATCTAAACTATGTATAACAATGGCATCACAGTGAGCAGGGTGGATTAGTGCTACTGCCGCTACACTACAACATGATTGCTTTACATATATCAACACTCACAGTCAACTACGTACAGGCACAAGTATTCCCCGGCTTATGAAAAAATTCCCATCCTGAAAAAGCTTCTGTAAACAATCTTTTCGTAAATCTGAGCATATTTTCCATAAGACTCCCACCATAAAACCCAAGATCTTAAAATTGTTGGTGTACACAATGATTATAAGCCAATAAACTCACACACTCTTATAACTCTACATATTAAGTGTACATAGTATAAAAATCTAGAATAAATAATATCTTGTAATTAATTTTCCACGTCATATATGGGAGTAAATGAGGAGAAATTAAATAATAAGGAAATTGGCTCAGTGACTGTGTGGTGATGTGTATACTGTTCCTCATGTGAGTTTGAGGAGTAAGTCATAGTTATGATTGTCGGAGAATGAGGACACAACGAGAGCTTATGTGTAGACTAATAACTTTGCAAGTTTTAGTGAAATAAATAAGCATAGTGGTAGCAGTAAAGAAAACATTATCTGAGCATATTATCATAACACTTTTTTTTAATATTACATTATGTTTCTCTCACATCTGGAATAAAAACTAGACTGAAAAACTTAAAATACAAATTTTAATCATATCTACAGGGTACAATACAAGATACACAGAACTGTATAACAAGCTACAACATCCTTCAGTAAAAATCTGTTGAGTTAATCAGAGTGAACTGCAATACAGGTGCAACTACATAGAACAAATACTACAAAAACTTCTACACTAAGGTTAAGTAAATGCCTCAAGGTACTGCATACTGTACATAGTTTTGAAGACAGGGACATCCTTAATGATACAGTAAATAATACACTGTACCATGATTAAGCTTAGCTAACTAACTCAGTGACACCATGAGACAGTTGGCAGCAGTCTGTATTGTCAACCCACAAGTCCCGGTTATACTTCCGTGGCCAGGCAGGGTTTTGCTGGCCTGTACTCCGTGGTGGACCCTGTGGTATAATGTCCACCGATTTGGCTATACACACACACCACACCACTGCCTTGGGTCAACACATACCATGATCATCTAGTGAGCTACCTGACCTATATTACTGCCCTCTTATCTTCTTTCTCGACGGAATATCTGTGCACAAGACCGAACAGGCAAGTGTTAAGTGTCTACAAACATTTCTCAGGCATCAACACACAACACACGAGTCCATTACTTTACTGCTACATGCTGTCAAACTTACTTATTCTCCTTCTTCGAGGTGGCCGAGTTGATACTGTAGTAGTAGTAGTAGTAGTTGTAGTTGTTGTTGTTGTGGTAGTTGTAGTTGGGGTTGTTGTGGTGGTAGTTGGGGTTGTTGTAGTGGGAGTTGGGGTTGTTGTGGTGGTAGTTGGGGTTGTTGTGGTGGTAGTTGGGGTTGTTGTAGTGGGAGTTGGGGTTGTTGTAGTGGGAGTTGGGGTTGTTGTAGTGGGAGTTGGGGTTGTTGTAGTGGGAGTTGGGGTTGTTGTAATGGGAGTTGGGGTTGTTGTTGTGGTAGTTGGGGTTGTTGTGGTGGTAGTTGGGGTTGTTGTGGTAGTTGTAGTTGGTGTTGTTGTAGTGGGAGTTGGGGTTGTTGTGGTGGGAGTTGGGGTTGTTGTGGTGGGAGTTGGGGTGGTTGTGGTAGTAGTTGGGGTTGTTGTGGTAGTAGTTGGGGCTGTTGTGGTGGTAGTTGGGGCTGTAGCAGTTGTGGTAGGTGCTTTTGTGGTAGTGGTGGTTGGAGGAGCAGCTGTGGTGGTGGTCGTTGGCCGAGCAGTTGTTGCGATGGTCGCTGGTTCTATGGCAGCAGTTTTGGTGGTAGACGTGGCAGTTAATGTGGGATCTACAGTGAGGGAGACGCTCTTACTTGCTACAGTGGGAGTGGTTGTGACAGAGGTGGTTGGGACTGGGTCTAATGGCCCTGATTTACTCGTTACCGTGGTAGTGACTGCAGGTGTGGTAACAGAGGTGGTAAGAACTGCATTTCCGGGGACATTATCACTTGCTATTGTGGGTGTGGTTGCAACTGTGGTAGCTGGTGTGGTAAGGATTGGGTTTCCAGGGACTTTATCGCTTCCAACAAGGGGAGTGATAGGAAGGGAGGCATTGATGACTGGGACTGACTCTCCTGTGTCTTTACCTGTGCGAGTTCTGTTAGAGAAACTGTCAACTGTTGAGATCTTGGTGGTAGAGGTTGTGGGTGGTGGTGGGGTGGAGGTTGTGGGTGGTGGTGGGGAGGAGGTTGTGGGTGGCACACTTGTAGGTGGTACAGTAATAAATGGTACAATTGTGAGTGGTACAATCGAGGGTGACATAGTAATGGATGGTACAAGAACAGATGGTACACTTGTGGGTGGTACAGTAATAAATGGTACACTTGTGGCTGGTACGACTGCGGGTGACATAGTAATGGGTGGTACAACAATAGGCGGTACACTGGTGCTGGGATAAAAACCGACTGAACCATCGCGGGCATTGATATTGTTCACTGCAATGCGTGACTCAGGGAAAAATATTGGAACAAATGCAGAACTAACAGTAGGAGGAGGAGTAGTGGCAGGAGGAGGAATAGGAGGAGGAGTAGTAGGAGGAGTAAGAGTTGTTGGAAGAGCAGAGTTTTCAAGAACATCAGTCTCCATTTTGCCAGCCGTGTCAACTTGCGTCGCCACAGTATTCAGAACAGTCGACACGTCTGCCATGGTTGCTGGCGATGTGGCTGTTTATAAAATTGTAGCATGATGGATTATGAGAACAGTAATGACTACAATACACCACAGTACACCCGAGCCTTAAATGTCATTCATCAACTACATATCAAGATGCTACCAACTATTACCATGACCCCAGACAAGACCCCACCACCGAGGGCAAGAGAGAGTTGCATGAAGATCAATTTTTAAAACCTGTTAAGTCTGTAAAGTATCTGTATTGATAAATAAACAAAAAAATCGTAAGGAAAATTTGCTCGTAGTGTTAGCCTGTGAAGATGTGTACAGTGTATTGTAATGTATTGATAAATTTCAGTAAAAAATAAATGAATTAATGTGGGTGTCTTGATTCACATCTTCCTCAACAGAGCCCAGTAAATTAAATGGTTATCCTGGTAACACTTCAGTAACATGTTCTATCTAATCTTATCTTTAATTAGAACAAATAACTATAATTACCTTTCTAGTTATATACAAAATTTATATCTATTTCATTCTACTATTTTTCCTACAGTCCTAACATGCAAAATTAATGCCCTGTGCAGCAGCATATAAATATTTACTAATAAAATATATGCAATCGTCTTAGGTTATTCTGCTCTAACTACCTGGAAGCAGAGTATGTACAAGTAATATACCGCCATGTCTCATTGGGCAGCTCAAGCTTCAATGTAAAAACAGCAATAACTACTTTAATATGTGGTGCACTAATCATTTTGAACATTAAATTCACAGTTATTTTGTACTCAAGATTATCATCAAGATTTTGTGTACTGTTATTATTATTATAGTATCATGGTGTGTCTGGTAGGGCTGGATTGGATTACTATCGTTTCCTGTTCATCGTCAACGTTTCACGGCCATTTTCCACGATTATCTGATGGCACCTGTTGGGCAAAACCAGAATGGGATGCCCCCCCCCCCACACCCTGGTACCGGCACACAGCACACCAGCCCAGAATAAACAGCAATGACCAAGGGTTGGGCACATTTATGGTGGTCTGGTTGCCATCATGCCTACTGAAGCAAAGTTTAATGGCTGGATGCTCTTCCTAATGTATGAAACGGTGTACAAAACAAACTGTACCCTTCAATTACTATTTAAAGTAGAAAAAAAATCTAGAGATAAATTTTATAGCATCCTTCTGGTTAAGTCTGTTGAGGTGTGGTGATGCCAGTTTGTGTCTTATGTTTTACAGTCAAGGACCATAATGTAGTAAAGATCACAAATAAGACCATTCATCATTATAGCATTTAAGGAACACCTGAAGATTAGGGCCTCCTAAATGTGTTTTAGGGGACTAAACTTCTGGCAGGTTAAGTGCAAGGGGGGGGCAAAATTCAGGTGAACATATGTGGGACTAATAATCAGGTGATCTATAATGGCTTAAATTACAAATGGTTTTGTTCGTGGTCTTGACTACATCACTGATCAAGGATAATACTTCAGAGGTAAAGAGAAGAGTAAACTATGTTGTTGTGACCAATTTATGGTACAATGTTATTTTGTTTAATATTAACCAGAACCCCAGATGCATTTTTGTTTTTAGTTCTCACTTAAGGAAACTGGTGGATGAGTGGGAGGACACCAGAGATAACCTGCCACGTTCACTAGTGTCAGTATCTCGCATCTGACCTGGGAGTGAACACGGGCCACAGAGGTGAGAGGCAAGTTCATTATGCTGTCCCATCATTTTCAAAACACTAGACTGTATCGACAATAAAATTAGTCAGTTTTAAGGAAAAGATAAATGTTTTGTAGTATAATAAGATCAGTGAGACTCCTCTTAAATAAACCATGAATTATGCCATCACCTTTGTACTATAGTGAACACATATACCTTCCTGAGCCCAAGCAAACTAACATAGATCATCACCCATCACCATAAATGAAGACTCGTATAACCATTCCACCTAAACCATCCTGGAATCTTCAGTGCTCCCGAGGCATTCCAGTTAAAACTACCAGAGAAGGTTTAGTTTTACTAGAACATTCATCTAAGTTACCCAGGAACCCCACAACTCCCAGCACTTCAAGTTCACAAGCTAGGAGGTCCTGTGAGGGGAATGGGGAAGTCACAAGCTAGGAGGTCCTGTGAGGGGAGGGGGAAGTCACAAGCTAGGAGGTCCTGTGAGGGGAGGGGGAAGTCACAAGCTAGGAGGTCCTGTGAGGGGAGGAGGGGGCGGGGGGGACCTTCGAGTATGTAAGACAACCTGAGAGTGAGGCGGGATCCTCTGGGAAGCAGAGTTATAACACATCTCCTGAGACGATGCCAGTTACCTGTGAGAGTTGGTGCTCCTCCGTGGCTGCCCTCTGGTTCAGGTTCAGCCTCTGCTTCAGCATTTGGTTCAGCTTCAGCTTCCGGTTCGCTCTCAGGTTCAGCTTCGCTCTCAGGTTCAGGTTCACCCTCGGGTTCGGGTTCACCTTTAGGTTCTGGCTCACCCTGAGGTTCGGGCTCACCCTCGGGTTCGGGCTCACCCTCGGGTTTGGGTTCAGCTTGAATACCTGCAGCACCGGGACTCACTGTACCTGGGATATATGGGAACTCCTTACACTTCTTGGTCAGTCCCTGAGGCCTCCACCCCACAGCAGCGTACGAGGACCCGTTGTTGACCAGCACCACCTCTATCTCCCCCTCAAGCCCCAGGATCCTCCAGTACATGGTCATCTTATCACTCAGCTCTTTCTTGGAGTACGCATCAAAGTTAACGATTTCGCGGTTTGTCACCAACGACGCTGCGGAAGAGGAAACTCTCTAATCATCTGAATGGCACGTGTTAGTGGGATCCTGTCGATCAAAATAATTTCAACCATATAAAAGAGAGTAATATATATATTTTTATTTCTAGTACTAACATTGGGAACATTTACGACCGAACCGGCCTTGTCGGCAGTAACACTTCTTCTTCGGGTATGTGGTGGCCGCCTCGTCAACACACCGACCAAACAGTCCACAGTGGTCATTATTCTCGCACTCATTCTCAAACTGGCACCGGGGACCATAGAAGCGTTTGTTACAACGACACCTGGACACCATGTACCGGCCGTTACCACTACAAGTTTCTCGATAGCTGTTTCCTGCAACATAAAAGTAAAGCTTATAGTAATGTGTGAAGGTATTAGTGACTGTATGTACCTTAGATAAATGATTCAGGTATAGCCTATTGACCTGTGTTTCTAGAGTACTGTACAGGTAAAAGGGTTTAAACTCTGGCCAGGAGCTTTATCACACACAAAATTCGCTGAAGGTAATGTTAAAGGTCATTAATGTATCCAAGACAACTGAATCTACAGCTTTGTTACCCTGGTGTCTGGAGGAGCTGTATACACACCCCATCCTTAACTTTGAGGTACTGTACAGTATAACATGACATTCTTTCATCATAGAATATACCCAAAATACTGATCAGATAAAACACCACATCCGAGACGTTAAAGTGACTTAACAAACAGCAAGGAATAGAATAATAATAAAGTGACTTACTCTTGAGAATATCAACATCAGCACAGGACCAGAACTGATATTTGCTGCCCCACTCTGACGCCTGACGGAGGAGCCTAATGGTGCAGCCTTCACACTCTATATCAGATGGTAGAGTGATCAGCAAGGAATAGAATAATAATAAAGTGACTTACTCTTGAGAATATCAACATCAGCACAGGACCAGAACTGATATTTGCTGCCCCACTCTGACGCCTGACGGAGGAGCCTAATGGTGCAGCCTTCACACTCTATATCAGATGGTAGAGTGATCCTGAACGTCTGCGCTCTGTCAACGTATGAGACAATATAAGTAAACACATACACACACTTTGTTCCTCCGGCCACTTATAAACAAACATAACAATTAACCACTAAGACGAGTGTTTATCAAGTGTGAACTCAAAGCTAAAATAACTAGTACTACTGTATGTGTTGATGAATTGCATAACATCATCTTCAGGGTGGTAAAGATGTCCCTGTGTACCTGTAATAATTAATAGTACAGTACACTTGTTCCTGGCTATACCTGTATCTACATTGTTATACATCTTGTTCTACTTGTTATACAGAACCTACATTGCTATATACTTTGTTCTACTTGTTATACCTACATTGTTATATACCTTGTCCTACTTACAGTAAACATTAGGAATGGTATCCACTTTCAACATTTACTGTCACCATTTCCAGTGATTATTCTCGTATAAAAAGGTAAATAACTATATCATTAATTATTACAGATACACGGAGTCTTTTATAACACCCTGTAGGTGCTTAATGCTTCTTGTGTCACTCAGTAAAGGTGGAGAACTCTTATCATCTGAAGATCTCTGCCCTCCCCCAGCTTATTTCACCTCAAAACACCATAACATTGTCTGGGGGGGGAGGTCAGGATAGCACTTACTTATACCATCCATACTTACACACCACCGTCAGTACTCACAAGGTACCTTCCCAACAGTACTGCACCTACGGAACATTCTCAGTACGTACTTCCATAACTTACTCCCCAGATACCTGCAGAAGTACTCACGTTGCATCATCAGCGAGGAACTTGGATGAGGCAGTGACAGGGGTGAGGTCAGTGAGGGGTCGTTCCTGGGCATCTAACAGCTCCACACGGAAACCTCCCTGTGTGTGTGGGCAACAGGTATTAATGAGAGTGGGTGTTGTTGGACCATGACACCTCTACTCACACAGAGAGAGACAAATAGACAGAGATTTATAGACACATACAGACATATAGAGAGAAAGATTTATAGACAGATAGAAACAGAGCGATATACAGTACAGTATAGACAGAAACAGAGATTGAGATTTATAGACATGCATAAACACAGTTATATTATATACAGATATAAATATACAGTATAGCACCAGATATACAGTATATATAGATACATAGAAAAGATAGATATTTTTCTATGTTGTCATACACAGGTTCACATTTTTTCAGCACGTTTAATGTGTATTAATACCTACAATATATATATACATGTATACCTACAGACTATGATAACTAAATATAGACCTTAGCACCAGTGATTGGATCTATACCAGCACCATACCCACAATCGTACCACATCCACACAGCTGCACTATTGTACATCCACAACCACACCCCACACTACAAACACCACACTCAACCACACCACACACAACCACACTCAACCACACCACACTCAACCACACCACACCACACTTAATTATTTACACCATTTTTGTAAATGACTAAAATTATTACGAAATATAAAATGCATAAAGTAATTCTGTATTTATATATGTTTACAATAAAGTTTATTATAAAGACCAATGGAGATGGAAATAATAACAGGGAAATAGAAGGAAATGATAATAGAGATTGGAAATGAAAGAAGAAGGAGGAAGTACTGAATAAAGATATGAAATGAAGGGAGATTGAAGATAGAGACAGGAAATGAAAGAAGATAAAATAATTACTGCATTGAGATAGTTAAATGAAAGAGTATAATAACAGGAGTAGTACTTACACGGTGAGGATAAGCCAAGTGCCAGCTGACGTTAAATGATGACCCCTTCAGTAGGGTTGTCCTGATGTCACCTGCCGAGATATACCCACATTAATACCGTACATCTTCCTTCAAAAACGTTCACAACAAATAATAAACATTCATAAATCTCCACAAAACGTTTACAACAAATAATAAACATTCGTAAATCAAAAACGTTTCAGATGTTTGTCTTTTAACTGGTATTAAGTGAACGAGTCTAGTTAAGGTAGAATCTCAGTGTTATTTATGTTGTTTATTCTTAATTTTTATCTTAAGTCAACCAGCTAGTTACATTCTAAGTCATCAGTTATAAGAAATAGTTATCGTAGGAACCTATAAGACCACATGCAACAATAACAGTTACATGGGGGCGTTAACTCTTGATTACAGCATTGGGGGAGAAATTGGTCCCTGGGGGCATTAGACTGACACAACCACTAAGTGATGTGTGAGAAATGAACACACGAGGAGTTTGTGTAATGTTAAGTGTGAAAAACAATGTTGTGTAACTCTACATGACGGCGTGTGTGTGTGTAACTTAAAAAAGACAATAGTATTTATAATGTGTAAACAAAGATGGATAAGAATAGGTCATTACTTTAAGCCATATATAAAAAAACAAAACACCCTCATGCGGGAGAAACTGCATCAGTCAGTCAGATAAGAGGAGACGGGTTTAGCCTCGCCACAGCGGCCTACACAACACGACCTTTCACCAGTCGCAACACCTCACTCACTACCATTAACAATAAGTATAAGTAAATTAAGCTTTCCTGAGCCTTATAAGTCTAAATATCTACGAACAAATAACAATAACAAGGCGTTGGTGGTTTTCTCTGGATTCTCAATTGGATTTCACATACGTCGTTGAATTCGCGGTTTTATGTATTTCATCATCAGATTCCCAGACGGATTTTACGATCGCTTTCACAAACGTATGTCTGTTTCTTCATTTTCTCGTGTGTGTGTGTGTGTGTGAACGGGGGCAAGGTGTCATGTGGACGTGTAAACAGGAACAACGACTCGACACCTAGAGCAAGACGTGAACGCACCAATACAGCTAACCACAACCTGGCCACACACACACACAGAAAGGATGACATTTATAGCTGTTGTCACGACGTCCTCAACCACTACCACACCCTCTGCCCTGCCTCCCTTGTGATCTATCATACCACCCAACCTTCACCACCCACTAACTGAACTTTAACCATTACCTCCCCTAACCAACCCATGACCAGCTCCCTGACCCCAACCAACCCTTGACCAGCTCCCTGACCCCGACCAACCCTTGACCAGCTCCCTGACCCCGACCAACCCTTGACCAGCTCCCTGACCCCGACCAACCCTTGACCAGCTCCCTGACCCCGACCAACCCTTGACCAGCTCCCTGACCGCGGCCATCACCACCACCACCTCTACAGCGGCATAGTAATGGTGTACCGGTGGGCGATGGTGGTGTTTTCCTTCCTTCCCACCTCACAGCTTATTTCACCGAGATATTAACCACCCTAATGCTAACCTATCCTAATTTAGCCTTACAAATCAAGCCTAACTTAACTTAATCAAACTCCCCCAGGTAGCATTAAGTTTTGTAATCATCAGGTTCAATAAACTGGGCTAATCTTCAGGTGAAATAATTAATAATAATAAACACTATCATTACTACTACTACTGTTTATATCAGTCTACCAATCTGTTAAGTCAGTCTATGTCAATTTCAGTCCATCTCAGCCTACTGTACAGGTCTTCACACACACACACACACGCAAAACCAGAGCAGAAACAGAAATGAGAGTTGATCTGAGGTCAAACGTGGCCAACCTTCAACATACAGACAACCTCAAGTGAAACGAACGAACAGGAAGTGAGAGAGAGAAAGAGAGAGAGAAGGAGAGAGGGTCAAGGTTGGTGGTGAGAGGGAGGTGGCGCGGCGGGGGCAGTTTCTTTACACCCTCGACGTCATCATACCCCACAAGCGTTCTTTGTCATATTCTCATTCAAATTCGTCAAGATGTCTCATTTGAAGTCATTTCCATCCAATTATCTGTGCTGTCTTTATTAAAAAATCTTACAATAGTGACCCTAGTGTATAATAGATCAGAATTTAGATGGGATTAGCTCATTTTAGTCTTGTATGGTGTGGATAATGTAGGTTTGTGAGTCTGGTAACACCGCTCGCAGGGTGGATGGGAGCATGACGCGACAGCCACATTTTTCCCCCCAAGACGAAAAAAAAAATGAAAGTAAATAATAAAGAAATTAATAAAATTATCCACATTTCCTTTAGCACATCTTAAATTAGATATCTCATTTCACCTTAAACTTTTTATTTATTTATTCTATTTACTTAGGCATTTTTTTTCGTTATTCCTAAATCCAAAATTGTTCACCGTACTGGGAAGAATAAACAGGAGTCGGGAACTTCTCTCTTACATACTATTGGTAAGTAGAGAACACGAGAGAACACGAGAGAACACGAGAGAACACGAGAACAAGAACAAGAGATATACACTCATGGACAACTAGATCATAACTGGGCGGGAAAATCGTCTACTTGTTGTACTTGGGCGGAGGTGAGAGTTATTCCGCCCATTCACCCTTGAGTACGGTGGTTTAATTTTACCCCTTGAGTACGATAACTTACGTACGATAACTTAACCCCTTTGACTACGGTAACTTATGTACGACAACTTAACCCCCTGAGTACGATAACTTAACCCCTTGAGTACGATAACTTAACCCCCTGAGTACGATAACTTAACCCCCTGAGTACGATAACTTAACCCCTTGAGTACGATAACTTAACCCCCTGAGTACGATAACTTAACCCCACGAGAACAGCTGGAGTAAACAAGACGCAACAGGAAGATAAACAAAGCAACAGGTGGATGTAAACAAACATTTTAATACATGAATCGACTCCTAATGTAAACAGCGAGACGTAAACAATAGGAATTAGTGTTTTATTCGGGCCAAGGTAACGACACCAGCGGCCTGTGACGGTGTGGGGCCCTCCTGACGATCCGGAAGGAGGTGGTGGATAAGTGGATGATGTGGTGAAGGAGGTGGAGTGGTGGTGGATGATGTTGTGGTGGATAAGGTGGAGTGGTGGTGGATGAAGAGAAGTAGGAGGTAGATAAGGTGGTGTTGCTGGTGGTGGTGGAGGGAGGAGAGGCATGGCAATCCAAGGAGGAGGAGGAGGAGGAGGCGTACGGCCCCTCACCCCACTGAACAATATATATTTATGTGTGTAATAAATAAAAACGAATACATAAAACATTAATCGTTTTCCCCGGGTTCACAGCGACTGGCCAGAGGCGTTCGTAGAAGTGTTGATGACGCCACGGCGGGGGTGAACGGCACTTGACAAAACACGTTCTAAGAGACGAGGAATTCATAATTTTACCGGGACACGAGTTTATTAAAGCTTATTCAGCTGATATTGCGTTATTTAAGCTTATCTATCTACCGTCTGGTTCACTAAGCTTTTCCGTCTATTATTTACAACAAACATACCCATATTAACCCTCCCATGACCCATAAATACCCATATTAACCCCCCATGACCCATTTTCTATAACCGCCCGTTACCGAAAACGTCATCGGCTCCACTTTCGTTTCTTCGAATTTTATGACGTCACGACCAGCTACAGGAATTATGACGTCACGACCAGCTACAGGAATTATGACGTCACTATAAGTACTATCACCCCCCCACACATCCTTCCTTGTTGTTACATGGGGGGGTGAGGGGTGGGGGAGGGGGCTGCAGTTAGGTGGGTGGATTTAAGTGCATGTGGTTAAGTGGATTAAGAACTGTATATAAGTGTACTCCTATTAAGTGGTAACCCTACACTTATCAGTTGATCCACACTGTGATGTAAACAAAGCCACGTGTTACTGTTTACATCTGCTGATAATCATAATCAGCTGATGATCAAATGTCAACAAAGCCACGTGTTTTTGTTTACGCCGCTGATAGCCACAATCAGCTGAGCCACACCCACTGTTCGCTGTCAACTTCCTGTCACGTCTGTCATACATCTGTCAATTCTCCATTTGATACCCCCGTCACACGCCTGTTATTACTCCTTACGTCACACCATTCGTCACATCCCTCACACACCGTCACTCTCCTAACATGCCGTCACGCCCCAGTCACATGATCGTCGATGAAAACCCAGGTGTGTGTGTGTGTGTGTGTGTGTTATTATTTATGCACGCCAAGTCTACGGTCACAGCAAGGCAGCGGCGTGGCGTGACAGGGCGTGGCGTGAGAAGGCGTGGCGGTCACCCTCACCTCCACACGCCCGGATCATCACCTGTTAAGATATCTCACCTGAGTTTGACCTAATTAGTGAGTGTCTGTCAGGAACACAGGTAAGGTAACCCCGACACATGCATACCTACACAAACACACATCTACACACTAGCAAATGCACACACCTATACAGACACAAGGTCACTTAAAACATCAGAGTACGCACACGACGAGAACATACACACAAGCCCTCGTACATAAGTCTGATCACAAAAATATATCCACGAAAATATTCATGAAAGCATTTCTGTGTTCGAGAATACGTACACACAAAGCATGTTTACTTACGCACGCACACACACACACACGCATTTAAGACATTGATCCATAAGCTGCGTTAGTGAAGGATGCTTGTCCCCTGATATAACCAGGGTAGGGGGGGAGAGGGAGGGAGGGGGAGGGAAGGGAGAGGGAGGGGAAGGGGAGGAGGGGGAGGGAAGGAGGAGGGGAGGGAAGGGGGAGGGAGGGAAGGAGGGGGAGGAGGGGAAGGAAGGGGTTGAAGAGAGAGAGTGGAGTCAATAACACCTAAGCAATAATACACACTATCAATACACCGTAACACGACTCGCATCTACTATGGCAACACAATCATCTATCAGCCAGTTTACCCAACCAATGACCCCCCACCTCCACTCCCACCCCCCCACCCCCCATACAGCCACTGTGTACTGAAATACCTCATAAACACACATCCTTTACCTGGACTCAACCAATATCTTCCTAATT